TAAGTATTTGGTCACTTCAAACAAGGAAAATCTCTGGCTCTCACAGACCTGTAATGTCTTCTTTAGGAAGCTTTTCTGTCCTCCACTCGTTACCTGTATTAATGGCACCTGTTTGAACTCATTATCTGTATAAAAGACACCTGTCCACAGCCTCAAACAGTCAGACTCCAAACTCCACTATGGCCAAGACCAAAGAGCTTTCGAAGGACACCAGGAAAAGAATTGTAGACCTGCACCAGACTGGGAAGAGGGAATCTACAATAGGCAAGCAGCTTGGTGTGAAAAAATCAACTGTGGGAGCAATTATCAGAAAATGGAAGACATACAAGACCACTGATAATCTCCCTCGATCTGGGGCTCCACCCAAAATCTCATTCCTGTGGGGGTCAAAATCATCATGAGAACGGTGAGCAAGAATCCCAGAACCACACGGGGGGACCTGGTGAATGACCTGCAGAGAGCTGGGACCACAGTAACAAAGGTCCCCATCAGTAACACACCACAACGGCAGGGAATCAAATCCTGCAGTGCCAGACGTGTTCCGCTGCTGAAGCCAGTGCATGCCCAGGCCCGTCTGAAGTTTGCCAGAGAGCACATGGATGATACAGCAGAGGATTGGGAGAATGTCATGTGGTCAGATGAAACCAAAGTAGAACTTTTTGGTATAAACTCAACTCGTCGTGTTTGGAGGAAGAAGAATACTGAGTTGCATCCCAAGAACACCATACCTACTGTGAAGCATGGGGGTGGGAACATCATGCTTTAGGGCTGTTTTTCTGCTAAGGGGACAGGATGACTGATCCGTGTTAAGGACAGAATGAATGGGGCCATGTATCGTGAGATTCTGAGCCAAAACCTCCTTCCATCAGTGAGAGCTTTGAAGATGAAACGTGGCTGGGTCTTCCAACACGACAATGATCCCAAACCCACCACCCGGGCAACAAAGGAGTGGCTCCGTAAGAAGCATTTGAAAGTCCTGGAGTGGCCTAGACCACCCCATAGAAAATCTGTGGAGGGAGTTGAAAGTCCGTGCTGCTCGGCGACAGCCCCAAAACATCACTGCTCTCGAGAAGATCTGCATGGAGGAATGGGCCAAAATACCAGCTACTGTGTGTGCAAACCTGGTAAAGACCTATAGTAATCGTTTGACCTCTGTTATTGCCAACAAAGGTTATGTTACAAAGTATTGAGTTGAATTTTTGTTATTGACCAAATACTTATTTTCCACCCTGATTTACAAATAAATTCTTTAAAAATCCTGCCATGTGAATTCATGGATTTTTTTTCACATTCTGTCTCTCACAGTTGAAGTGTACCTATGATGAAAATTACTGACCTCTGTCATCATTTTAAGTGGGAGAACTTGCACAATCGGTGGCTGACTAAATACTTTTTTGCCCCACTGTATATATATATATATATATATATATATATATATATATATACATAAAGGATGGGGCAACCTCGACCGTAGCAGACACACAAGGGATGGAAGTCAGTCAGTTCTACAGAAAGTTAACTACAACTACATCTGTTAGTAGCCAAGAACCAATGCCCACACACACACACACACACACACACACACACACACACACACACACACACACACACACACACACACACACACACACACACACGCACGCACGGACACACACACACACACACACACACACACACACACACGACTAATCAGTATAAAGTGACATTAAGGGACATAATGCAGGGAATTATAATCAAGATTCGACCCAAACAACTACACCTCCATAATCTGTCAACATAAAGACTCTAGGTCAGCCGTACCAAACCAGAACCCCAAGAGCCACGCGAGCTGCCTGCAGGCCAACTCACTACAGAGCAGCAACCAGCAGCCCTTCCATACGGGTGAAGCTGTCAGTTTCAGAAAGGTTGTGACCCCTGATAAAGGATGAAAGCTGATGGTCTTCAGGTGAAGGCTTGGTCTTTAACTAGTAGTCAACACTATTCTTTCAGCGACAGCCGTTCCTCCTGTGTTGTTAGTAAAGCGTGGAGGCGGGAGGGTCCCAGAAAACAGGAATTCATGCACTTCTCTCTTTGACGGCATGGCACAGGCTAATTCCTGCAGCCGTGTAGGATATGGAAGTAATCATGCTGCATTACATAAGCATAAACTATGCGTATAAGAGCACATTCAGCTCAGCAGAAACTGTGACAGGAACGATGAGCTGCAGGCCAGCGGTGAGAAGGATTGGTGTGAGTGTTAAACTCCAGAGTCCCACGGGGGTGCAGAAGGGAGAGGATGTGAAGGAAAGCTGCAATAATAGAAAACGTAAGAGCAGAGGTCATTAAAAGTTATGACTCAAGCTGCACTTTATTTTCCTCAGCAGGCTGCTATGGAAGCACTGGTCTCCCCTCACATAAACACATACCGGGGGTGCCCTGGACAGGCTCTGCCTCTGCTAATAACAGGATCCTAATCTGTGTTTTATAGTGTCTAAACACAACTTTCACTGGGCTGATTATACTCTAGTGTGACTGGGATCCAGTTAACAGAGGGAAGCCCAGGAGACCCTGAAGGTGGTGTTTACATTCTCCACATTTAAAATAGACATGCAACAAACATGCTTGTGTTCCTAATGAGTATTCCAGGGTTGACCATTCTGACAGGGAATAACATCCGGTTGTCTCTGTCGCCCTCTCCAGGTGAACAGCCATATGTCGACTAATTTCCCTCAACATTCCCAAGCATTAAAACTCTGCTCCTCATATTCTGACCTTTGATCTAAGAAAGAAAATGTGGAGCTCAGGATTCAGAAACTCCTGCTTGGCTTAAAATTCCCAGCTCTGCGACATTCGCTTTCATATGGCGCCACCTGCTGGACATTGAGGAAAACATGGAGCTCAAAGTAACTTTTCAACACAAAAGAAACATTGATGTGGCTATTTTACTGCTTAAATCAGGTGGTTAAATACCCCCGTCATCAGTAAACTCCTGCTAAACATGTCATGAGCAGGCCTTTGTACATGACCTAGCAGAAGAAAAATCATCCTCATTCCACTCATCAAGCTGCTTGGTCACTTCTCAAAAACTTCAGGATAGACATGCTCCTTAGTCAGAAATCTGAGACTTTAAACAGATGGGACATATTCTTTCTACTGCTTCACCTTTGTCTGGGGTCGCCTTCACAAGTTCAACTCAAAGTAGTGAAGGCCTCTCCCCAAGCAAGTCCCGTTGATCCTCTCAACTATTAGAGCAGGAGGTGCTTGAGGACCTACTCAAGTTGGACACACTCGGCTGGATTGGATACTCTTGACCCTTTCTTTCTGAAACCAGCAGCTCGAGTACCTGCAGCGCCTATAACTCATCCATTTAAAGAGCAAGTTTTTTGTGCTTGTGAAGAACTAGTGATTTTTATCCAGAGGTGCTTTAAAAAAGCATGTTCTTGTTCTACTCCAACAATGCAAGAGAGGAAATATGAAAGTAGAAACAGCTTTCAGATGTATTAAATAACAAAACATCACAGTTTTCCTGCATTACCAAGGCAGGCTGGCTGCATGTTTTTCTAGATGTTGCCACTGCCATAACACAGGAGGAAACCCTGAATGTAAAAAAAAAAGTTACACAACAGGTCCTGGATCAGTCAAAAACCGCTAAAAAACCACAGCTTTGATAGTCACGTGATCGCACTGTTTGAAATCGCAATTTTGGTTCAAAAACGATAGATCGTTCAGCCCTACTTCAACCTAAACGCTAACGATGGGTATATCAGAGCATCCTGGTGCAATAAGCTATACTGTTATGCACGACACCATTAGTCGACTATTAAAATAGTCGTTTGTGACAGCCCTAGTTCACAGCAGCACCTCTTACAAAAAACTGTGCCAGCCAACAGTGAATACATTAATAAAATCAGAGAAAATGTCAACGGACAGCAAAACTTCATGGTTTCTCATTCTGCAGCACCTGAGCTGGCCGCACTGGTAGCTACAGGTGCTGATAAAAGTTAGCCTGCTGGCTGTGGTGCTGCATGCATTCTCCATCTCGGTGATGCACACCATTCAACAGAGACGCATGAGGAAGATGTAAACAACTTGAATTATGAGCAGTGTGTTTGTTTCTGACCACAACCAAAGTCTGGAAGAAGCCTCTGGGGTGAGAGGCTAAATGTCTCCAACATATCCAGAAACGTCCAGCTGTTTTCAGCTAAAACTCTCAGGATGATCATGTCCAGGATGACTGAGAACTACACCTCCATGCTGCAGCAGCATTCAGTCAGGACAGAAAGTGAAACTTAAATGTAGCTGGCTGCATCTGACTGCTGACGCTCCGTGTGTGTTTTTATTTCTGCAGTGAGACAAACTCACCTCACACCGTCCAGTTTGTTCTTTAAAGCTTCTATTAAATCCACTGTGTTGACGTATTTTAACAAGTTTCCTCTATGCTGCAGGAGTTAAAGTTTACATTGTGGAGTAAAAGTTCGGCAGACGCGTTTGTTTATATCTGGGTGGGGGAGGGGGGACTCGGTGCTGACAGCTGGTGTGATCAGCTCTGGAAAGCGTTCATCACAATTTGCAGATCACGTTTGTTTTTCACGGAGATCGGCCGCGGATTCCTCTTTCGTCTGCATTCTAGGAATCGAAACTCGAAATCAAAATAAAAAACTTTGAACGATTCCGGGAAAAATTAACTGTTGGAACCAGTTCCAATCAATGCTTGATGCCCAACCCTAGAGACTCGCTGCTCCTTCAGGTCGAGAGGAGCCAGTTGAAGTGGCTTGGGCATCTGGCCAGGATGCCTCCTGGACGCCATCTTGGTGAGGTTTTCTGGCCACGTTCAACCAGGAGAAGACTTAAAGGAAGACCAAGGACATGCTGGAGGGACTATGTATCGCAGCTAGCCAGGGAACACCTTGGGATTTCCCCAGAGGAGCTGGCCCAAGTAGCTGGAGAGAAGGAAGTCTGGGCCTCTCAGCTTAGGCTGCTGCACCCATGGCCTGACTAAATGGATAAAAAAAATATCTTACCTAAGCAAAGAGAAAACACTGTAGGAGTTCCTGACTGAACTCTGGTCCACCTGAAGCTCGGAGTGACTTTTCCTCTCTGACTGATCCTGGAAAAGCCACAAGTCACAGTTTTAGTACAGAATCAGAGTTCAAACACAGCCAAAAGGGTTAGGATTGGGTAGTTCATTACTGGAAAACAGACAAAAGCTTATACCTTATGATCAAAGTCAGCAGCATAGTAGCCATCATTAAGTCCAAATATGATCTCATTTGGGTTTCTGGATCGAATCTGTGGACAAAGGTGGTGGTGGAAGGGGGTGGGGTGGAGGGTAGAAGCAGATATGAGAACATCTGAATGAGAATGTTATCTGTTCAAAGTCAAAGTCCCATTAGTTGTCACACACACTGATGTGTGTGTGAAATTTGTTCTCCACATTTGACCCATCACCTGGGGGAGCGGTGAGTAGGGTTGGGCATCGTTTGATTTTTAACAATTCCGAGGCTTGGGCTCTGGATAACCTAGCCTTTTAGATGGAGGCATGTTGGAGGCAGGACAAGGGAGAGCCGTATTTACTGACTGTACACTCCACCTCCCTCTACTCCCCCACTTGTCCACATCTGGGCTAACATCGGATTTTAACCATAGGCCCTATCAAATTAAAATCTTTTAAGCCTAGTCTTAAAAGTAGACAAGGTGTCTGCCTCACGGACTAAAGCTGGGAGCTGATTCCACAGGAAAGGAGCCTGATAGCTAAAAGATCTGCCTCCCATCCTATTTTTAGATATTCTGGGAACCACCAGTAAACCTGCAGTCTGAGAGCAAAGTGCTCGGTTAGGAACATTTGGAACAATCAGGTCACTGATGTATTATGGAGCTTGATTATTAAGAGCTTTATATGTGAGAATAAAGCTATATATATATATATATATATATATATATATATATATATATATATATATATATATATACAGTAAAAAGAATTGGTCCAAGCACTGAACCCTGAGGTACTCCACAAGTAACCCTGGAGTATGAAGAAGACTTGTCATGTACATTTACAAAATGAAATCTATAAGACAGGTAAGATTTAAACCAACCTACCACTGTTCCTTTGATCCCTACAACATGTTCAAGTTTTTCTAAAAGAACATTGTGATCAACTGTGTCAAAGGCAGCACTGAGATCTAACAAGACTAGAACAGACACAAGATTCTTATCTGAGGCCATGAGAATATCATTTGTAACTCTCACTAATGCAGTTTCAGTGCTGATACTCTCTAAAACCAGACTGAAATTCCTCAAGCAGGTCATTAGAGTTTAAATGCTCACATACTTGGTTGGCCACTATTTTCTCAAGGACTTTGGATAAAAATGGAAGGTTAAATATTGGTCTGTATTTTATTGGGTCATCTGGACCCAAAGAAGGTTTCTTAAGTAAAGGTTTGATTACAGCAACCTTAAAATCCTGTGGTACATATCCATTTACTAAGGATAAATTGATTATATCTAGAATGGCAGCAGTATCCAAAGCAAATGCATTTTTAAATAATTTGGTTGGGAGTGGATCTAAAATGCAAGTTGACGGTTTAGATGAAGCTAATATTTTTGATAACTCTGAAAGCTCAACTGGATCAAAACGGTTCAAACACAGATGAGGTTCTACAGTTACCTCTGATGCTGCCTCACTTACTGAGGAAGAAGAAATCACATTAGGGAGGATGCTAATGATTTTGTTTATAATAGAATTAATTTTACTCATGAAAATTCCCATAAAGTCGTTGCTGCTGAGGGCTAAGGGAATAGATGGTTCAGAGCTATGAGTCTGTGTAAGTATGGCAACTGTACTGAAAAGAAATTTAGGATTATTCTTATTCTCCTCAATTAGTGATGAAAAATAAGCAGTTCTAGCTTGTCGAAGCTTATTTTATTAAGCACAAGACTATTTTGCTAGGATAAGTAGGACTCCTCCTGGTGTGTAGAGCGCCATGTTCTCTCCAATTTTCTAGAGTTTTGTTTTAAAGTTTGTAAATGAGTATTAAACCAGGGAGCCAACTTCCTGTGCCTAATTACCTTCTTTTTTAAAGGGGCAAGATCATCTAATGCCACACGTAAAGAAAAATAACATTATGAACTAAATCATCAATTTGTGAAGGGCTAGAAATGAAAATATTGCCCTCTGCTACGTTCCTCTGAGATGCTGAGGACAGTTGATTTAAAAGATGCAACAGCGTTGTCAGATAGAGACGAACTATAGTGAAATTTGTTTTCATGTCTCGAGAACTCAATTATTACAAACTCAAAGGTTATCAAAAAATGGTCCGAGAGGACTGGATTATGTGGAAATATTGTTATTTCCTCACACTCTATGCCATAAGTCAGCACAAGGTCTAATGTATGAACGCAGGAGTGGGCGGGGCTATGTATTCTCTGGAAAAATCCAATTGTGTCCAAGTTATTACTAAAGGCTACACTGAGGCTATCACTTTCAATGTCCACATGAATGTTAAAATCCCCCACTATAATGACCTTATCAGTATATAGCACCAAATCAGATTTAAAAAAATCAGCGATCTGATCCAAAACCTCAGAGTAAGGGCCTGGTGGATGATACAAAACTACAAACAAGAGTGGCTTTACAGTTTTGCAATCTGGATTAGGAAAACTAAGAATAACATGTTCAAAATAAATGTAACTATTAATATGTAAGGGATTGATTAATAGGTCTGAATAAAAATGGTTGCTACTCCTTCTCCTCGCCCTGTAGTTCGAGCAATATGTGTTTTTGTTAGAGGCACTGCCGTGAACTGGGACTTAATGCAGACCGCTAATTTGCTGCGACAAAACTTGAAGGGAAAACAGCCGAAGGAGAAAGTAGTTTGTTTTGAAGGCTGCTTATCATGCATTTGTTCTTTGCGGCATGTTGAATGCCCAGTATGCACACATCACAAGTGGCTGTTACACCGCATTTCATTTCAATTCAATTCAAATTCAAAGATACTTCATTGATCCCAGAGGGAAATTAGAGTTTCAGTACACACAATTCAGAGATCAGACATACACGGGCAAGACACATGACAAGAATTGGTGACTGTGGTCAATCGCATCCCTGAGTCGCGCTACCTTTTGCTGCCAGGTTTAAATTACTGCCAAAATACTGACATTTTAGCTTGGTAACCCGTTAGCTCTGGGTTTTTCTACTAACAGCTGCATGTTCTAGTGACCGAGTCCCTGCCTGCCGTACATTGTGTGAGGCAATGATGTATTTTTCTTCCAAGACACAAAGAATACTGAGAAACATGTTTAAAAAAAATTAAGCCTGTGTTCCATTTGAAAATCTCCATCTCAGCATTAATTAATGAGTCATATTTTTATTTAATGAGGTTAAATTTGATCTTTTAGATCTGATTTCTATTTTTAAGCACTTTGAGATTTATCAGAATGTAAAATTTCATAATTAGCATGACTACAAATTAGACATTGGCACGTCGCATATGTGACATCACCACAGAATCTCCTCTCCCCTAGAGTAGCTGCTACTTACCAAATCGACAGATTTGTGGTGGTTTTTTCCCTCCTGGAGGTAGGATTTGAAGTTTGCTGAACTTAGAGCGATTTCCCTCTGTTTTCCTCTGTGTCTGGTTCAATGACGTCATTTTCATGAAGCGCATTTGTAGTCCTGAACTTATTTTCACACAAAACCTAAAATAACATTCCCCCGTACAAAAATGAGTGCATTCTTGGTATTAAAATGTGTATTTAAAATTCACAGACATCACGTGAAATCCATGGAAAAGGAATTAGAAAATAGCGTTTTTGACTTGCATTCATTTTTTTGTTCTTCCGGGGCTTAGGCTCCCTATATAGGTAGAGCCCACATATGCATATGTGGACTGGTGCTGCCTATTGGAGCTGCCGTAGTGGCGGGGCGCCATTTTAGATGGGTCTCCATTCGCCCCAGTGCATTTATTTCTACTAAGGAAGGTGCTGACCCAACTAAAAAAAAACACATTTTATCTATCAAGCTTTTCCACAAAATCAGTCACGTTATGGCATGATAATTTTAATATAAATATAAAAAAATAAATAAATAAATTTAAATATGAAATCCTATCAGGTAGGCTAGAAAAGTCACTAATAATCTCACGTGGATTGGATCATGTGTGTGATGCATGTTTACTCATGGAGCACACAGACTGTTGCTGCTGCAGCGTCACTTTCTTCCTCACTGGACGAGTGAATATCTTCATCAGAGGGTGAATATTCCTCTTCACAGTCAGAGTCAGACATCACCAGACAATGCACAGACCTGTCAGCAGCGTAAATTTCTCCTCTCTAATATATAATTAATGATCACCCACTGTCACCTCCTCTCCTCAGTTGGGAAACTCATTTTGGTGCATCTTAATGCTTGTTTGATTAGCATTGACTGTTAATAGGTTTATATCCTATCCAATTATTATGATGAACTGACACGTTTGGTTCTATTTTTTTTGTACTCTTTACTTTTCTAAATTTTAAACATTTTTATTACAGCCCATGAGAAGCTACCCGTCCACCTTTATTGTTCCTGTGTGAAGTTTTCATGACCCGGAGAAGCTTGATCTTTGGCTAATCAGCCTAAGAAGACAAAGCTGGACTCCTGCTTGTGCAGTGAACACAGAGAGTCATCACTTCACCATGGACTCCAGGGTTCAGACACCTTACTTCATACTTTGGTTAAGATTGATGCAATTGAAGCATTAGTCATAAAATACGGACACGTGTTAGATTGCTGTGTGTTCAGCATCAATGGCCGTCATTAGTTTAACAATCACCTCTGTTCTTCTCCCGCAACCCAGAACTCCTCTCAGAAACACTGCAGCTTTCCAGGCCTCTTTTCTTGCACTTTATTTTTAATTTCTCTACATTTATTGTTTCATTTGATTTCCACCACAGCAGAGGTTTTGTGCTTTTGGGGAAGGTGTGTTCCTGAAAGTACCGGAGTATTCCCTCTCTCACGGAATCACTCTCATTTGCCTCATCACCAGTGTCCTTCATGCTGGATGTGTCAGTCTCAACCACACAACCGGTCTAATAAAAAAGACGGGCACACGTTTCCTCTCGTGTGGACACTGGTTCTCCGATGTGTGCGGCTGCCACTTGTCCCTGAGTGAAAAAAGAACGGTTCTTTACCTGAGCGTTTCTGAAAATAAGAAATATCCATGAAATCTACATACAAGTTACAAATGACTACACAGAAGAGTCACTAATCTATTATTCAAGCACTCTTATTATAAATTATCTTCAGAGTGTGGCAAGCAGGCGTAGAGTTTAAAATAAAACTTATGGTGGTGTTTTAGATTTTTCCCGTAGCTCTTGAATTGCTCCAGAAGGCTTCCTGCTCAGATGTTTGTGAGTTGCGGTGGTGCTGCTGCGGTAAAGACGCCTTGCAGAGAGAACAAACTACTTGTTTATTTTTGGTTTGCTTAAACTATTCCCATAGCTTTGATCACTTCGGTCTAGATAAACTTCCTCCAGCTTTCTTCGTTTTCCACCATTGTTTTGTTTTCTTGCAAAGCGGACAGGAAGGCTGTCGTTCAAGTGAAGGGCCATGACTCAAGCGTGCAGCGCCATCTGCTGGTTTGGAGGCCACATTTTGTTTTGGTCTTTGTAAACTTCTTGCGTCAACGGTAAAAACGGCAATACTTCATACTCAACGTCACGTCATCGGTACGGTCGACTATTCGCAGCAGCACGAGAGACGAAAGAACAAAAAATGCAAAAAATAAATTAATAAAGAGCAGAAGCCTCTGTTATAAAACCTGCTTACACACAAACGGGGTCTCAAACCTGCGTAAGTGACTTTCCACGCAAACTCTGATTTATAAAGCACTTTAAGCTAACTTTGGAGCTGATGTGAGAACGGTTTGGAAACGTGAAACCTGTCAGCTCAGCTGGTGAGATGGTGACATGTTTAATTTAACAAACACACACACACACACACACACACACACACACACACACACACACACACACACACACACACACACACAGACAAAACAACAGTCAGCCTTTCCATCACTCAATTGAAAATTATTTCTGTAATTAAACTATGTTTTAGGACATTATGTGCATGTCTTCAAATGACTTACTGTTGCATTAGTTGTGTGACAAACAACAGAAACCATGAACTAAAACTCAGCACCACAGCGAACCGGGGCAGAGGTGTAGCTGTCAGAATTAACCTAAACCGACAGCTGGAATTAGCCAACAGGCTGCCATTTGTTAGATATGATGAACAATATTTCCTACCTGAAGCCCTTTTGGGTTAAATTAAATGTTTTCATCAAATGCTCCTCTTGGACCTGGAATATCCCTGATCACCACTGTGCTGCTGTTATTGATAGTATCAGTGAGGGGAGGTACAGCGCTGCCGTATTGGTGTTTGTGACCTCGCTGCACAAACCTCTCAGTAAACACTCACAAGCATCACTGCATGTCAGAGAAGTAAGAACAGTAGTGTTATCTAGGCGGCTGCTGACCTGCTGTCCCGCGTAGCGAAGCCCGTCCAAGCTGACCTTCCACTCAATGAGGAGCTGATACTGTTCCTTCTGTCCTCCCCAGATCCGCACAACAAAGCAGGAAACTGATGTGTCCAGAAGGTCTGGGAGCATTCCAAAGTCCAGGCTCCGCCAGGTTGGGTTCTGGCATGCACACACACACACGCACACACACACACACGTAAGGGTTGACACTAACAGAAAAGACTCACAGCAAGAACAAGTGAGCTGATCATATCAAACTGATTTTTAGTGCAATCTCACACTCTGAAGGCACACATTTCAAAACACCGCCCACTGAGAAAAATCCATGTTTTGATTTTATCACTAAAGTACAGTAAAGTACAGTGTTTGCTAAAAATACTGAGCCTTGTCTGCCCAACTGGCAGATGTGGGAGTGCCTCATGCAGGACAATGTATCTGTGTGCTGCTGAGGTGTATCTATTAAACAATTCCTACGGTAGTGACTTCAGAAATGTACATATTATCACACATACATATTTTTATTGTGAAAATAATCTCACTGCATGAAAAGAGAGGTTTTCATCAGTATACCACACTGAAACTTGCCATGGAAGATCAGGCAAAGGGCTGTTCTCGTCAATTTGCAAGCTTCTCAGTGATCAGATACAAAAAGAACCACCAATGTCATTTTCTGCCATGAGGTTCAGACGGACACTCTGCAGGAAACAACCCAACAGAATGGATCAGAAAATTATTAGAGATAGGGATGTTCCGATCAAATGTCTTTGCTACCGATTCCATTCCGAGTCGTTTGAGCTTAAGAATCCGCTGACATTGAGCACCGATTGCGTACTTGATATTGAGTACTGATACTTTACAAATGCATTAAGAAGAAAGGAGAACACACTACACTTTTTTATCATTAATGTGTTTCTTTCTTTCTGTATTTATGTCATTTCTTTACTTTATCTGCCATAAAACATCACGTGTTTAGGAAGTACATTACAAAACGTGTTAATATTAAGAATGAATGCGAAAGCAGCCTTGTTGCTCACATTTTAAATGGTTAACTCAGTGTACGGCTGTTGTAAGCAACAGAGATGACACGGCACGACAGTCAGCAGCAGAGTCATGCTGTTCTATGAAACACCTGGAGCTGCTGTGTCTGTAAAGCTAGGAAGAGATGGCAGATCATACTACAACTCAAGCAGACGGCAAAAACATACGTTTGCAACTACAGACACTCATCAAGTGTCATAAATACACTGCTATCTTGGCCTTTTTGCTGTTCATGTCGGCTGGCTTATCCGAATTGTTGCAGAGAACGAAGCACGGGCAGTTTTTTTAAGGTGGTGCATCAGTTTCATAGTGTTGAATGCAGCACTACCTTTTCCACCACGTTAAATGCCCATTTTGCACACATTACAAACGTCTGTTACAGTCCCTTTGATGTCCAATTTAAAATACATCCAAATTACAGACATTTGTTCTTTCTTGAGGTGACAAGTATTCTCTGTGTTGGATGACAGCTACATGTTACGGTGTGTGAATTCCCGAGCTACCTTAAATTGTGGGACATTGTTTTCTCTGGAACAAAGAATACTGATGTAGAGGAACTTCCTGAACTTCAAAGTAAGTCACTTTTATTCCTTTTGAAAATCTCTTAGAATAAATTAAAAAGTAATGTTTTTGTTTTACACGGTTAAATCCAATTTTTCCCAAAAGATTCCAATCCAGTCTGGCTAGACTCACGAGATCACAAAATTCATAGAGACTTATTAGTTTATGCCATTCGTAATTAAACCAAAAAGAAGAAGGAAATCAGATTTGATATTGTTGTTTGATGTATATAATGTTGTCCCTCTCGAATGCCTGGATTAAAGCCCTGAACAATACACCACTGCACTTTTCAAAGGTTGTTGGGAAGGGCTCAATTTCAGCCGGATCTTGCCGGAACAAGATCCAGGACCTGTTTTATTTTGAAAGGACTGTTCCAGCAACTCACGGGACCAATTTGTGCTATACGCAGGGTTCGAATTACGGGTGAGCTAAAGGGACCCCGGCTCACCCCAAAGGATGACAGGCTCCCCTGGAAGCCCTCAGCTTACACACCCAGGGGGAGCCCGACAAAGTTCCTGGTTCTACCTATGTTACATTATCTATGTGGACTCTGCTGGGATTATTTAGAGCTGAGAGGCGCAGAGCTCTGATCGTTGACGCGCTCCAGACAGATGCGTCCTGAGCATGGCCACAGTAACATTATCAAAGTGACGCCACCTCAAAAACAAATTGAACACACGATCGTTAATGTCGGCTCATTTCCTTTTATGAATTCTGTCTTTAATTGTGCCTGATGCTTTTCACTGCTGTGGAGCGGAGCGCATCACCTGTTTTGTCCTCCGGTGACTTCACCTCACTGGTTCGCACTACGCTATGTTTGTGGTCTGTAGATCTTTTTAAACTGCAGTTCAAAGGTAACACATGATTCTAATGGGTCACTCTGAGTGTTTCATGCAGACTGAACATGAAAATAGTCTCCTACATATATCTCCTGCATTAGTTTGTGATAGAAAACAGACGGTGAAACTCTAGGATTAGAAAATCCTGACCGATCACCACACCGTCACTTAACAACATTCATGGACTCACCCATCTTGATTCAAAACAGGGAAGGCTGTTGTTGGTTTAGTGTCCAGGAAACGGAGTCGTGACTAGCATACGTCAACCGTTAGCATTAGCAACTCCATCACACAGCAGATCTCTTCCAGGCTTGTTTTATTTGTGGAAATAAAACATCAGTAGAACAGAATAGAACTGAATAGACGTATTAACCCCACAGTGGGGAAATTCACTTGTTACAGCAGCACCTACACTTACAGAATAATTTGAAGAAAAATAATAACAAGGGTACAATAGGGCTGTCGCGGTAACCGCAAAAATGAAATATCGCAATATGAAGAAGCCCACCGCGCTGCATCATGGGCCACCGCGATTACTGAACTTGGTTCAACTCAATGATGCATGTTGAGAAGGATGGCTGCACTGGTATCAAAACGAAACGTTACTTCGCTCCTTTGGGAGCACTTTGGTTTTCAGTACGTCAGCTGCTGCGCAGCCAGGGTCCTTGGCCGAGACAGAGCTGCAGCGGCAAAAATAAATAAACGCTCGGAGACCTGCTGAAGTCCTGAACAAGCACTACTTCTGCAACCGTCCCGAAGAGAGTCTGAGCCGAGCTGGAGCTCACTCGCTACCTGCAGGAGGAATGCATCCACCCTAAAGAAAACCCCCTGACATGGTGGAGCAACAACCGGGAGAGATTCCCTTTGCTCGCCAGTCGCACGCAAGTACGTGTGCGTTAGTGCAACGAGCGCACCATCCGAGAGGGTTTTCAGTGTGTTGCTGGAAATGTTGCCACCCCTCTCAGATCCTCTCTCAAACCGTATATGGTTAACATGCTGGTTTTCGTTGTGGGCAACAAGGACGCGACCGAGCTATAAATCACCGTCATTCGTGTGTGAAAGTGAAATGATAGTGTGCCCGCCCCCCGGCGCGCGCGCGCCCGGTACATGTAATTTTTTATGCTTGATTTTAAACAGCTAAACAAAATGGGGACTTGTTTCTTATTTGTTAGATGCTGCAACCAGATTTGCATTTAAAAGTTTAACCTCCTGAATTTTGTTGTTTTTAAGTTCAGTCGGACTCTGACTGTCGGAGAAACAAACGTTACTGCGATCTGTGTTGTTACTGCCTTTTGATCTGCATTCAGTAAAGTGTTATTAAAGAAGGCACAGCAATTTTTAACCTTTTTTAAATGTGTAAACATTATGTTTAGATAGTACTGCAATAAAAAAAAGGGCTGCAATAATATCGCACACCGCAATATTAAGCCACCCTGAATCACTGCAGGGGGAATTCCTCAACCGCAACAGCCCTAGGGTACAAGTGAATAAAATTGAAGTTTGGGTTCCAGAACTATGCAGCATAAGAGAGACAGACATACCATGTAAATCTGGTATTGCACAAGTATTGCATAGTGAATAATGCATTGGTGTTATTGTATAGCAGGATAATGCCAGTCAGGCAGGTCATCTTCCCCAGCATCCTCCTTTCATACGTCTCCTCAACTGAATCGAGTGGGCAGCTCAGAACCGAGCTAGCTTTGTGAACTAGCTTGTTCAGTCTCTTCCTGTCTTGGTCAGAGCTGCCTGCACCCCAACAGACCACAGCAGAGTGGATAACAGTGCCAAAAACAGAGTGATAAAAGGATTTTAGCAGATTGGAATTATCTCAGAAGGACCTCAGCCTCCTCAGGAGGTGGAGGCGGCTTTGGCCTTTCTTATAGAGCATCTGTATTGTTGGACCAGTTCAGTTTGCTGTTGAGGTGAACACCCAGGTACTTAAAGGTATCCACCACCTCCATGTCTGCTCCCTGGATGTGTCCTGGGAAGTCAATCACCATTTACTTTGTCTTACTGGTGTTCAAGCAAAGGTGGTTATGTTCACAACAGTACACAGAGTCCATAATGACTTTCCTGTACTCCAGGTCACCCCACACCCAACTCCGGCACACAGCCGACAATAGTCAAGGCAACAGAATACTTCTGGAGGTGACATCTGCTGGTGTAGGTGTAGTCCGAGGTGAAAAGAAAGGGAGAGAGCACCATGCCCTGCGGAGCTCCCGTATTACATACAACCACCTCAAACGTACAGAAATACAGCCTCGTGTACTGTGGCCTGTTGGTGAGGTAGTTGATAGTCTATGCAGTCAGATGTTCATCTACTCCTGCAGTAGACACAGCTGGATGGTGTTGAAGGCACTTGAAAAATCAAAGAACATGATTCTCACAGTGCTTTTCTGCATCTCGAAGTGAGTCAGAGCCCGGTGCTGCAGGTAGATGAGCGTGTTCTCCACCTCCAAGTTTGGTTTATATAAAAATTGCAGTGGGTCTATTTCTATGTCCAGTCAGTTTCATCTGCCTGGAGTATTGTGGGCTTCATCAGTGTTCTGTTACTTTTGACATCCTGCTGCAACTCCAAGGTCTCATGCAGAAGACGAGACTTTTCCCTTTTTAAAAAAAATTAATCTATTTTGTCTCGGTTGTGGAAATTTTTATGTTTATTAATTCTTGACAATTGATTCAATCAACTGAATGTAATATGTATTGCTTTATGCCTCTTTGCATGCCCACTTATTCACACCCACACAAGCCACACACACACATTCTTGACTTCCCACACACACTCACTCTCTCTCTCACTTTCATTCCTTTCTTATCTCTTGGTATAAATAAACACTGTGACCAGATGTTCGGGGCATTTTGCATTGTGCATTATGCTACACTTATAACAGGTTGACTTGTCTGTTCATTGCCTCCTTTTTTCTCTCCGACTACAGGAAATGGGTTATTGATAAACATATTGATAAAATCAATAACATTATTTGGCCCTTCGAAAGCCGGGGTCCCATCACCTCACGGCGCCAAGAAACGACGCCGGAGGACTGTCAACACCCTAAATCTAATAAATAGGTGTTTATAAACTAAATTTTTGTCTCTGTGTCAAATTATTATAAAGTGTTGTAACCCTGGATTAACCAAAGTACCTAGTTTAATCATCAATCGAATATTAAAGGCTCAATAATATTGATAATTCATATTTTTATGAATTATTAAATTTTATTGAATACCTTTATATTCTATTGACAATGTATTTAAAGTAACCTCCTACAAATCATTACAGTTTTTATCAGATGGGAGGTCAAGGTGACAGGTTTGTAGTGGTCTGGTTCTCAGAGAATTGATGTTGTGGGAACTAGAACCACACAGGAGGTCTTCCACATGATGGGGACCTGCTCCAGACGAAGACTCTTGTTGAACATGTGCGTGGCCATTTCATAAAGCTGGTCAGCACAGTCTTTGGCAAGTCTGGGGCTAATCCAGTCAGGACCTGCAGCTTTCCTGCTCTTAAGCCACCTCAGTTATCTCCTCATGGTCAGATGTAACTGAAGGTAGTTTTCCAAGAGCACTATTCAGAGCAACTCGGACTGTGGCAGCTCAGCCCGACCAGTTTCAATGGACACGGTTCGGTATTTTCCCTCTACTTTCTCCCCTATATTTAGTCCCTGCCCTGTTTAGGTACCTGGCATGACTGAGTGGGGCTGGCATTGCGATTTTGGCCGGTGACAGGCTAGGGGGTGGAGTCACTGGTTGCTCCAGAGTTTTCTGCTTTATGCTTTTTGGGGGGGGGGGGGGGGGGGGGGCCCTTAGTACTAACAACTAAATTGTTGCAACGCCACGGGCTACCTGACTATTGTTGCTGACCATGTCCATTCCTTTATGACTACAGTGTTCCCATCTTCTGATGGCTACTTCCAGCAAGATAATGCTCCATGTGATAAAGCTTGAATCATCTCAGGATGGTTTCTTGAACATGGCGATGAGTTCACTGTTCACCTCCACAGTCACCAGATCTTGATCCAATAGAGTACCTTTGGGATGTGGTGGAACAGGAGATTTGCATCACGGATGTGCAGCCCTGATGCTGTCATGTCAATATGGACCAAAACCTCTGAGGAATGTTTCCAGTGCCTTGTTGAATCTATGCCACGAAGGACTAAGGCCATCCTGAAGGCAAAAGAAGGTCCAACCCGGTACTAGCAAGGTGTACCCAATCAACGGTCCACACACCCCACTGCTTTAGTTTGCACCAATGTCACAGGAATAAGAAACTATCCAAGTTATCTTGTGTAGTAATACAGCAGCTGAAAGCCTCTGGTGAGCAGCAATTAGAATGCTTGGAAGAAATGCTCTTGCTCTACCAACTCCGCCGTTCCCAGGATGCACTGATTTCCCTCTTTCCTATTCTCCTTCTCTTTCCTTATATTTTCTAATCACAATTGTTTTTGTGATTTCAATTACATTTAAATATATTTTTTTTTGTTCTTGTGAAGCGCCTCGTGATATTTATCTTGAGAGGCGCTATATAAAACATTGTTTTATTTCTCTCTTTTGCTGCTGCTGCAGAGACCCGAGATGATCTCTGATGGATTACTGAAAAAAATGTCTTGTGACAGACTCGGAGCAGCATTTCAGGAGACAGTCTGCAGTTTGTGCTTTTCAGGAAATTTATTTTATTTTTGCAAGTTAACAGAAGACGGACGTCGCCGGCGGCCATTGTATCCAATAGTAGTTTTACGTTGGACAATACTAAAACACGTCGGTGATGTCCTACTGTCCAACATGTTTCCACAACCACTGCTGGGGCATTATGGGATGTTAAAACTCTTCGGGAGAAAACCAGAAGGATGTAGAAGTTACATTTCCAGAGTGAAATTAATTGTGACCTATGATGGCGTAAGTGAGTGGAAAGAGGAAAACCAACAATGGTTGATAGCCAGAGAGCAAGAACGCTGAATTCAACAGCAGGAAGCAGCAGGACTGATTACCCCTTCAAACAGCACAAAGAAGGAAGCAGCAAAGGTCAGACGGTGACCTACTATGCCCAGTTGCTTCAGCGCTTGGTTAAAACCTGAATCTGCCCTGCTTTAAATGAACTGGAGAGCAGCTAGAAAGAATGCAACCTTCAGCTTGATCAGAACATTAGGGACCACTTGAGGAAGGCTAAGTCAGCACAGGACCACATGGGATTTAAACAATCAGTGAAGGTCAAATGCAGGGTTTCCCTTACATAGGCGTAGCCGTGGCAGCCCGCCACGCCTACAAGATCCCAAGTTTTGATTTTTTTTTTTTTTTTGCTGTTTCCCGAGGAAGCAGCGGGAACTACTATGTTGTCGCTTGTGATCACAGCCGGCGGGCAGCAAGGAGGAGCAGGGGGGGCAAGGTGAAGTTACAGCATAAGTTACTGAGTTTAAAATTAGAAAGGTAGCAGTGGATATAATGCTTTTTGGTTTACATTTTTCAATAGTATTAAGATAAATGAGTGTTGACGATCTTGACAGGGTTTCCTCCAGTGCTTATTAGGCCAGGTTTTCCTCCCCCCACCAGGCCAAGCATCACTTATTCATGTAAAAAAAAAATTTTTTTTCAAGTCTGACTTTAACCGCATCTAATACTGTATTACGGCGTGAGCGCAACAGCGACAACTTAAGATCGATGTGTGAGCAGCCTGAGAGGTCGGGTGTTTCCATCTGAACCCTTAAAACCTCCAGCAGGCTACGCTGCACTATTGACGTGTTAGCGCGCGGCGCTAACAACTTAGCAACGTGACATGTCTCGGAGAAAGCGTAAAAACACGTTGGATGCTTCTTCTGAAGCGGGAAAATAACACCTCTTAAGCAGAGCACGGCGTCGCCTCGGCTCGTTCACGGCCGAGCCAGACTGAGCTCGATAACATTGACCCAGCACAGCCACTGGGTCATTGGAGCTGCCCCGTGACTGCCTGATGGAAAAACAGCGGGTTTCATCAGACTCGTAAAGTTTCTTGTTTTTGCTGGGGACCCCCTGTATTTTACGGCTCCCTCCTGCAGTCTTCCCCTATTAAAATTTAAAATGACTCTGTAAATTCCGTGTATCAATAGAAAAAAGCTCTGCCTCTGCCAGCTGCAGTAAATGTAGTTTCCAAATAATAAATAAGAGGTGCATTCATCCGTGTATCTCCTTTGATCCGCATTAGTGATATTCTCAGCACCAGAACAGTGAAGCAAAGAAACAGATTCCTGAGTTTGTTAGTAATTTTATTTATTAGGTGCATCTGACCTGTTCTATTTTTCTCTGAAATGAGATCAAATCAGTGCTTCTATGGGTTGTCCCCTCTCTGCACTAGAAATTTTTACTTTATTTAGAGACGTGTCATAATCCCCCCCCCCACCCACCCACCCACCCCCCACCCCACCCCCCCCACCCCCCCACCCCCCACCCCCCCGGCCGGCCACACCGCCACAGCTGGCAAAATTCCTAGGGGAAACACTGATATGGTTCAAATTTTTCAGCGGAGGTTTAATGTATGATGGGCAAACAGTAAAGTAGGATGAGCGCTTTAATTCGTGTTGAACAAAAGGAAGAGGGAAGGGTTGGATACTCACCAACGAGTCTCGAATGACTTCACTCTTGTAAAAATCTGAAAAGACAATAAAATAAAGGCTCAACATGCAACTGCATAGAAGGAAGAAGATGACATTGAAAAACATGAATCAAAGACATTTCAGGAAGGAGTGGTTTTGTCACAGCAGAAGTCCAGTAGCTGTACCTTTCTAGCACGTTTCTACATGATCTGGTGGAAGACACAACCAATGTAACCTCTCTGCAGAGATTTGCTGCTTCCACCATCCTAAAAGTGAGAGTGAAATGACTCCATCCCAGAAAGCGGCTCAGGGACTTGTGCATTGGGGACAAAACACCGCCATAAAAACCGTCCCATCTTCAAAGACAGGTAATGGCCAGCACAGGACATGCATGTTTGTAACTAATGTTTCGTAACAGACTCAGAAGCCCAGAGGGTGGCATGCTAGGCTGGCATGTAGATTAGCGCAGGTTCGCCTGCCGGATGAGGCGGTAACTTTTTTCTTGCCAGTGCTACATTTTCAACCCTTTCTTGGTAAATTGTTTAACATAAAAGGACAATTTTTTTTTCTTTACTTTCTTTGTTTATTTAGCCAGTGTGAGTCTAAGTCAAGAAGAAAACAACAGCCATTCATATCCTTTTACAAACTAGAAGAATTTGCTTGGTGCTGGTTAAAGTCCAACTGTAGTTTGAGTCCGAGGCCAGGGTTCAGAGGCGAGCTTCGTGCATACCTCTTTAGGGTTTCACCCCAAGATGAACAGTACAGTCATCTAGAATACGGTCCAAACTAACAGCTGGATGTTTTTCCTCAAATGTTGATGATGCCACAGACAAGGACACAGCTCCATCAAGAGTTCACGTTCATGCTACGACAGTGGGGCTGAGTGTGAGCGGTGCTGCCACTGACCTCTAGAAATGCGTTCTGCTACACACAGGTGAAGGGTGAAGTAGGTGTCCAGCAGCGGAGAACCATTCCTGTTGACGATGTTCCTTGCAGCAATGCTCCGAAGATGACGCAACCGTCTCTGATGGGCAGCAAAAACACAAACAGAGAGAGAGAGAGAGAGAAAGCAAAAACGCATTACCAACAGGGAGCAAGCATGACAACTGCCGTTTTCAGTTACACTTCACTCATGTGAGGCTTATTGGCAGATCCAGTCTCAGCAGTTTCTCCTCCTCTCACCTGGTCCCAGGAGAAGTGAAACTAGATGCCTACAGAGACCAGCAAAGAATCAAGCTGTCTCTTCTGCACACAAACAGCCTAAAGCTGCACATAGTGGCACAGACGCCACAGATGCTTCATACTGGGATGACACAGGCACGACTTCATGGGAGGATTAGGCAGCCGGTTAACAAGGCAGTCATGGCAATCACATGTTACATGTTACTGATGATTTATGACATGCGTGACACAGAAGGTTCTCACACAGGCCAGAAAACACAAACAACTGAGGCAGCAAGAATATTTGAGTGGATGCAAGTAAAAAATATCAAAGAGCCTATCTGTGTTCATGGGGGATGGGGGGGTTGACATTTGACAACATCCCCATCAAGCAACCTCACCACAGGCCAGCCTCTCCCCTGCAGCCATGACACAATCCAAGTCATGGGATTCTCTCTAGGATCTAGCAAACAAAAAATCTGATTGTTCCATGGGCCATATTTAACCCCACCCCCACCCCCCATCTTAAAGAAAAGCCCACCACACTCAGAATCTGAGATTATGGGTCAAAGACAAAACAGTATCAAGCCAGCCCTGCTGTGGGCCTTTTAACATGAATCTACTAGAATATCTGTGCAGACATCACAGTTAGCACCATTGTAGCCTTTAGCTCGTGATTTAATCTGTGGTCGTTACTCTGTAACGGCTCTGTACCAACTGCTAATCTGATTTAGGGAGTTGTTTCACACCTTCAGTTCTGTTCTTGTGTTCTTGAGTTATTGTCTGAAAATGCAGCTCAGCGGCCTAATGGTCGAGTGTCGGCCCTGGGACCGGGAGTTCAGGGTTCAAAACCCGGTCAGGTCATACCAAAGACCTTAACTATGGGACCCAACGCCTCCCTGCTCCGCAATCAGCTTTAACGGTTGGATTGGGGGGGTGTTTGTTGTGTGTGTGTGTGTGTGTGTGTGTGTGTGTGTGTAGGTGTGTGTGTGTGTGTGTGTGTGTGTGAGAAGAATTTGTACAACACTACAATGATAAAATACAAACAGTTGTATGATATTTATCAAATAAGGTTATTTAATGAGAAAATACATATAATATATATAACCCTAACCCTAACCCTAAAAATGCACTTTGAGTGAATTGAGGTACCAGGGAATACTGTTGCTTGCTGGTTCATTAAGAAGAAAGTTAGTTTTATCTTCTAAGCACTCAAGTTGTATTGTTAGCTTTGTTTTATTGTTTATTGTTCTGAATGTTCAGTTGCACCATTTCTTTGGCATCTTTAAATGTGAGGGGACTTAAGGACTCGGTAAAGAGGAAATCCTTGTTTTTGTTTTGCAAAGGGCAGAAAGCAAATTGTTTTTTTCTACAGGAGACTCATTCTTCCAATGCAGATGTAAACTTCTGGTCTAATATGTCGGGTGATCGAATTTTATTTAGCCATGGAAGCAACAAATCTGCTGGTGTAGCTATAGGTTTTCATAGATTTCCAGGTGAGGTAGTTACACATAAATCTGATAAAGAGGGTCATTGGATAATTGCAGTTCTAAAGATTGAAAGCCATTTTTTGGTTTAAGTGAATATATATGGCCACAAATCTGTTGTGCATAACAGGTAAATGTTCAATATTACTACTTTAGAAATAGATGAGCTTAAAGCTCTCCATCCCACTGATTATATTATATTTGGGGGCGACTGGAATATGGTGCTCGATGAATGGGTAGATAGATGGCCTTCTAAATTTGACAATTATCATTTTAATTCTAGTATTGAAGATTTTATCAGCGATAATAACCTGATTGATATCTGGAGAACTCAGAACCCAGGGGAAAAACAATATACCTAGCACAAACCAAATAATTCTGCAAAATCTAGCTTTTATTACTGGCTTATTGCTGATTCGCTAGACTTTTTCATCAGATGTGTCAATTTCCAAGGCTCCTTTAACTGATCACTGTATAATTCAACTGACTTTTAATTCGAATCCCACTTTTAAAAAAAACAAAGCTTATTGGAAATTCAACTCTGACCTACTAAAACATAATGAATACTGCTGCAAAATAAGAGAAATAATATCTAGTATTGAAAAGGATACTGGCATAAATAGTTTTTGTAATAAATGGGAATTCATTAAATTCAAAATAAGAATTTTCTATTCAAACAAGCACCAAACCTAAATAAGAAAAATAGGGAAGAAGAGGGTAACTTGTTTTAGGAAATCAATGAGAACTGCGGCAAACCTGCTTTATCCAATCAAGAAAAAGAAACATTATTGCTTTTACAATCCAAAATTGATGATATCTATTTAAAGAAAGCACAGGGTTCCTTTATAATGTCAAGAGCAAAATGGATGGAGGATGGAGTAAAAAATTCTGCATATTTCAGTAGATTGGAGAAAAAAAGACAAGAAAGCAAAGCTATAACAAGTCTGCTAATTAATGGTAAAGAATGCAGGGATAGTAAAGAGATTGAGAAAGAAATTCACTCGTTCTATAACACTTTATATTCCTCGGCATACTCTCAAACTGATTCAACGAACTATTTAAGCCAAATTACCAACTTTAAACCTTGTATTAATGAATCTTTCAAAACATTGTGTGATGCAGAATTAATAATCGAAGAATTAGATGTGATCCTTTTAAAACTTCCTCTGAATAAATCCCCTGGCTCGGATAGGCTCACTGCAAATTTTTATCGCTTCTTTTGGAAAGACATCAGAATCTTATTGTTTAAAGCTACAGTATTCAAGAATGCATCTGTAAACAGGAATTAATGCCTAGTATTAAACAAGGTGTAATAACACTAATTCCCAAAACAATTAAGATTAAAGACTTCTAGACAATTTAAGACCGATTACCCTTCTCAATACTGACTATAAATTACTTTCAGGTTGTATAGCAACTAGACTCAAACATGGTATATATCAACTTATTGATGTAACTCAATCTGATTTTTAAGGGGTAGATCTATTCATAACAACATTCGTCTGGTTTTGGATCGGATAGATTATTCGCATATATTGCTTGAGGAAGGATTCATTCTCTTCCTTGACTTCTTCAAGGCGTTTGATTCAGTAAATCATCCCTTCATATTGAGTACTTTAAATAATTTTGGTTTGGGTCAGAAATTTATTAAGTTAGTTAATATGCTATATAAGGATATAAACAGTTGTGTGTCTTTGGAACATGGTACCTGCCCTAGATTTCCTGTTTGCAGAGGCATTAGACAAGGTTGCAATAGCTCCCCCTCTTCTATTTATTTTAGTAGCTGAATTATTAGCAATTAGGATTAAAAACAGTGATATTGAAGGTTTCATTATGCATAAAAAGCTAGTAATAAGACAGTTTGCCGATGACACATGTTTATTCTTGCGGAATGAAAGACGAATTCCAAAAGTTGTACATTATTTAGAAACATTCGCCAAAGCATTTGGTCTTAAAATAAATTTGAACAAGTGCGAATTATTTGCTCTCCATGATCAAACACCTCCCTCTATATGTAATATTGCAGTAAAAAGTCAGGTGAAATATTTGGGCTTGGTGATAAAGAATAAAGAAATAAGAGAAAAAGAAAATGTTTGCAAGAATGCGGAAAAATGTAGAAATATATTGAATTCCTGGCTTCAGAGAGACGTTACCATCTTTGGGAGGGTGCTACTTTCTAAAATGGAAAGTTTATCAAGATCTATTTATCCTGCCTTTTCTCTTGATATCTCTGATGAACTGACGTTTGTGCTGCTAGGCTTTATAGCAGAAATTTAGTGAGGAAAAACATGCAGCCAGTGTGCCTTGGCAATGCAGGGAAAACTGCGATATTTTTTGTTATTTAATACATTTGAAAGCTGGTCCTACCTTCAGATTTCCTCCTTGCATTTTTGGAGTAGAACAAGAACATATTTTTTAAAAAGTACTTTTCTAGATATAAATCACAAGTTGCTTCACAAGCACATTAAAAATGATATAAATATGATAATGGGACAAATATTAACATTTTTAACTGATTTTATTGTACGATATAGTAAATATTGATGTGAATGATTTGTTTTACTAGATTACAGGATGGCTTGGCAGGCTAGTGTTGTACCTGTGAAAAAAAATGCGAACTGAACTGAAATCGCAATTTCTGATAGAAAAATCGCAATTCAATCTATTCCTAAAATCATTCAGTCCTATTGCATGGCACAAAAAAAGTTGCACAACACAACAAATCTATAACGCCAACGCATTTCTTCATCGATTTCATCTATTCGTTGTTGCAGCCATAATATAATCCAGCAGGTGTCAGTAGACAAACAGTGACACAGTGTTGACACAGAATCGACAGTTTGAGTAATGCGCCCAACGCTTTAGGAGGCCTCATATACCCATCCCTACATCAGAGTAAAAATCTGCAACATACAGACCTCTCATCTAATTTAGGTTTTTTTTTCATCCTTTCTTCGTACACAGTTGCTTTTACAATTACAGCATGTTTTACTTTTGTTGTGATTCTCCAAGTGAAATCATTGTTTCTATATTCATTGTATAATAATCAGGTTCTGATGTAAAACATACAGGTTTATACATTTTCTAGGTTTGTTAATCGAACGTTTCCCTAGTTTTCCTCCACTATATTATATGACATTGATTTGAACACTGACTTTATAATTATATCTCACAGTTTTATTTATTTATGCTGTTTACTTTATTATTGTTGGATCTTTGTTCATCACTTTGGTCAGCTGTCATGCCGTTTTAAAATGTGCTATATAAATAAACCTGGTATGGTATATTGTTTTTTTAAGTAGTCCATTACTGTGAAAACACAGATAGTATTTCATGGTTGGTAAAACATATAAACTTTAGTTTCCTATTACTATCTCACAACCCAGAGAAACTGAAATTACAGTAACCAAATCTGACCACAGGATGTCACTGTTACTCAATTCCTACATAGTTTACCTTTAACAATACATAAGTGGTTGGCCCAATCCCAACACTCGCGCTTCCACTCCTGCGCCCTTCTAAAGCGCGATCCAGACCATGGATGCGAGTGCGTAAGGTGTCCCGATTCTCAAGTGCAGAAGTTGATCATGCCCCATTTACACCCTTGATCAGCACTTCACCCAAGTCTGTGTCGATCTGAACTTAGGTGAATGGATTTACCCACAAGTCATTGCTGCGGGAGAAAAGGCTCAAGTTCCTTTTCTGAAAATATGTATTTTCTGATGAAAGTAGTTCATTATAGGATGATTGGTTGATGCTCTGAATGTTTCAGACAAAGCAGCAATTAATGTAAATTTATTTCAAATAACTGCAGAATTGAGACAGGGAGCATTGTGTCATCGATCGCAATGCATGCCAGGATGCTGGTCGCTGTGATACTTTTTTCCACAAACATTTATTAACAACTTACCAACAAACAACCAAACAGTTATTTGAAATGAATTTGCATTCATTGCTGCTTTGTCTAAAAGTTTAAGCATCAATTAATCATCCTAAAATAAACAAATTTCATTAGAAAATAAATATTTTCAGAAAAAGAACGTGTTCTTTTTCTCCTGCAGCAATGACTTGTGGGTAATACCCTTGCCCGTGGTCCACATCGCTGCGGACTTGGGTGAAGTGCAGATTAACTCATTCACGGCCAATGAAGACTAAAGTCATCATTAGCATTTTTTTACTGTTTGGGCGTCGGAGCGAGCCCCTGCGCTGAGAGAACAAACATCTCAGCTCTGAAGCCGATCTTCATCCGCATACGCCACACGTCACGTGATCAGGAAGCAGAAATCCATGTGTTAGGAGATCGTTTTGAGCCATTCCTGTAAAAAAAAAGTGAGGCGCGAACCGGAAAAGCTTCTGCCGATCACAATTCAAAAACGGATTATGAATGAACAGATAACGCTCGAAACGTGCAGATTCTTCCTGATGTAAGAGGTGAGTCTCCGCTTTGTTTTTGGTTGTTTTGGCATCGACATCATCCTAGCGCAACATTCTGTGACTCTTAAAAAAATCAGTAAAAACGGCGAGAAACGCTGGCAGCGAATGAGTTAAGGGTGCAATGCGGGTGCGGTCAACTACCGCACTTGAGAACCGGGACATCCTACACACTCGCACCCCTGGCTGGGAACGCGTAAATGAAGGGCGCGAGGGCGCAAGTGCGAATGTTGGGATTGGGCCATACAGGGAGTCAATCTGGACTTGCTACTTTCTGGAGCCAGCCCCTACTGGACGGGTGGGGAACTGCACTTCTACACTAGTTTCAAATCTGGCAGGTGGAGTTCGCCCTGCACACTACCGAGAACACTTTGCATAAATGAAATTGTGAGACAAGTGAGCGAATGTTCTTTTATGATGAGAAGCGTTTCCATTTTGCAGCTTTGCATGAATGAATGAATGAATGGTTCTGTAATACTGATGTTTTTTCTAAAACCCCTAGACTGTTATCTGAGTCAACATGACTAAATCTACTCAACAGCTACTCGTTTGAAGTCAAAACACGTGTAAATAATGTAATGACGTTGGGTGCCACCCTCCAGCTGACCACTCCTAAACATCATGTTTCATCGCAGCCATCACAGCAACTACATACATCTGTTATGTAGGCAGCTGTGTGTCGGCTGGAGCTGTGACTGCTTAGAAGGTAAAACGAGCCCCAGTGAGCTTCCTGTAGGTAGCAGTCAGCTAGCCGAGGCTAGTCTCTGGCTCGCAGCATGACAGGCCTGAATGGGCAGCAGCTTTAGTCTCTCCCAGCCGCTACACAGCACCACACGTTTGCTTTGGAAAACTGGAATGCAGAGGGTTAGCATTTACCTGCTGGGAGGTGAGCTCCACATGCAAGGCTCGAGAGGATGAAGCTGCAGAACTGGTGACAGAGGCGGCGGGGATAGCAAGGACCCGACCGCTGACGAAGCTCATCCTCCTGGCGGCATCTAACGAGTCCCCCTCATTCAACAAAACATCCTCAACACATGCACATCCAGGTAAAGTTCACCGAGCTGCAGGGAACCATGACCGGCGGGCAGACACGGCTGTTAGCGTGAGGACAACAACTGTCAGCTAGCAAACGGGACGTAAACAAAGTACAGGCTACGCTTACTTCGGAAGTCCGACTCGGAGCTGCGACACCGAGGCTGATCATTGGCTGAAGTTTACGTCTGTCAAAAGAGGCGGTGCTTATCTCTAACGATGTGAGTTGCCATTGGCTGAAGCGTCTGTCCCTCATTTAGGAACAGGCCAGTGTCCGTTAAGATCTGTCAAATCTGCAAAATATGAGGAAGTTGTAGAGAGCAGCGTGACACGCAGGTGACAGGAAAGCGCCGCGGCGTGAGAGCTTACGCTCAAGTCCAGGAAATGTAGTCGGACCTCAATAATCCTTTCAGACTTTGAAAAAGTCGAAGTCTGGGCATTACTTCCGCCTCATAAAAAAGTTTTTAAAAAATCACTGTTTGTGATATAAATCCTGGCAAAGTCATCATTATTCAATTCAGTTTATTTACAGTATACAACACCAAATTACGACCAGAGTCGTCTCAAGGACCTTCACACACAGGGCCGGATTTAGCCAGCCCTACAAAGGGGGGCAGGTGGATTATCAGGAGGGGCAGGTCTGGGAAATAATTTTTCGGGGGTTTCATACCTCCAAATCCCTAAAATGCATAGAAAACTATGCTATCATCATTACAGTTCTTCTATTCATATATCTATATTTTCCTTTGATCCATTCCTACCCTCTGCATTTACATGGGACACTATATCATCTATCTATCTATCTATCTATCTATCTATCTATCTATCTATCTATCTATCTATCTATCTATCTATCTATCTATCTATACATTTTGTAATGTTTTTTATCTTTTTTATGTATTTAATCTATTTTATCTATCTTATCTGTCTTTTTATTTTACTTAAATATTTTTATTTCTTTTTTAGAATCTTTGTTGTTTTTATTTCTTTATGGCTTCTATCAGTCATTACAGCATCAGCCGTCTGCTCTTCTGTGCAAAAGTCCTAACGAATCCATCCATATCTAGGCCTGTTGTTATGGCCTTCTCGTGAGCCAGAATAACTACATTTCTTTTTCTCTCATGTAGCGTAGTACAGCGGAACGGGCCAAGAACACGAGACAAAGTGGAGAAAGAGCTCTCACATGATGCTGCTGATATTCCAATCAGAAGGGAGGTCACATACATGCGATGGAGCTGAGGAAAGGTATTCTTATACCCATGTAGATATTTGGTCTATAAACTCTACACTGTTATCGTCATCAGTCTTTTTGAATTCTTTCTCCAACATTATTTTTGCAACAAGAATCTCATTGGAAAGTTTGTCACTGTCACTTCCTGCCATTTTCTGCAGAGGACTTAACCTGTACAGGATCCAGAAAAGAGGGAGACTGAGGATGAAGGCAGTTAACTGCTTTCATGAGATCGAGATTGCTTTTGGAGAATCTTGTCTCCATCTCTACAATGACTATGTCCAAAATGTTGAGAAGAGCTCTCTTCAGAGCCTGGCTAGGCGTTGTGGAGTCTTCTGCCTGGCCCACAGTGGACATTACAACACTACCTGTTAGCAGTGAGCTAGAGTCAGAGAGATGCTCAAGAATTTGGGTGGTAATGAATTCAGCATCTAACTGACTGAGATCAAGCAGACCGATCAGGTGTTCTTCTGGAATGCCATTACAGACTAATCTAACCACGACTGACCGATTCTCCATGTTACGGCCACCAGCCTGGCCACTTTGGATGCAGCAGCCAGGATCACCCACCCTGGTGATCAGCCTGACACCGCCCCTCCTCCTCCTCTCTTCCAGGCTGCTGAAGAGCACAGCTGAGATGAATCTCTGACGACCCACACCTGGGATCAAAAGGCTGTGCCTTCTGCAGTCTGGGAGGCAGCAGTCTAGGGGTTCTGCTGTCCTCCAGGCCTGACGCTTTGTTTTAAACCCCTTTTTTTACCCCAGTTTCAGAAGATCCATGTGATCTTTTTGGTTTATGTATGGATTTTAAGGTTAACATCGTAGTTTGCCGACTTTGGGATTTTAAAACACTCAGTGTGTTCGTAGTGCGTCTGTTTTTATCATCAACTTGTGTTTTTTAAAACAACTTCTGTTTTGGTAAACCTTTTAACAAAGTTTTAACCAGGTGTTTTAATGCTGATAAGTGGTATTTTAAACGTTAACCTTTTAGTCTTGATTTTTGTTAGGCATCATTTTAATAATGCTCTCCATCTGCTTGCTCGCCTGTTTTTAAAACATTTTATGGCAATTAAACCCATTTTAAATCCACTGTCACATTTCGGTGTGTGGCCTACCATTTTTAAGAACAGTCCTGCAGAGAAATCATCACCACTGGAGTTTTCCACACTAGTTCATTTACTGCTAGGAACTGAACTACTTCTCCAATAGTTTTTACGTAGTATCTGTTTTTTTTTTTTGAGTTGAGAAGCAAGCAGCCGACGAACTGGCTTCTGCCGCTCGTGCCTCAGCACTGTAGCTAGGTTTAGAAACCAGAAACCTGCGCATTGTCGACTCGGTTCACTTCAAAAACAAATGAAAGAAGAGAACGAGGCTAACTAAAACCTTGAGAAAGTGTAACCAAGTAATTCCAGTGACCGACAGCAGAAGAAAACTTCAACCAGTGGCTGAGCTTAGATAACAACGGTGCATCTCTGTGTTATGCTGCTGACTGTCTGGGAGTGTGTGAAGCGAGTGACACGACAGAGAACGAAGTGCAGTGGCTGGCCACACCCTCCCTATGCATCTACCAATCAGCAGGTGCTTTGAAAGCGAGAGAGAGAGGACCCTTTTTCATCAAATCTTTTGAAATTTGGGATTTCTACATTGGGGGGGGGGGGCAGTTACTATTTTTAGGGGGGCATTGCCCCTCCTTGCCCATGCCTACATCTGGACCCGTTCACACAGCAAGCATTCCAATTCAGGTCACTTCATTAAGCCAATCAGAAATAAAGTTTCCTATATAAGGAACCCAGCCGGTTGCATCGAGTCACTGACTAGTGTCAGAGTCTTTACAGCAATCCTCATACTAAGCAAGCATGCAGCGACAGTGGAGAGGAAAACTGCCTTTTAACAGGAAGAAACCTCCAGAGGATCCTGGCTCAGTATAAGCAGCCATCCACCACGACTCACTGGGGATGGAGAAGATAGAGCAGACACACACACACCAGGGCTGTACGTTAACATTTTTAGCTTAATGCTGGTGCTACAACTTTTTGTTCTGTGTTAGAAAACCTGCAACCTTTGTAGCACCAGTGCTATAAGCTAAAAAAATTTTTTTCCCGTGTCCTGTCTGGCTGTGAAGCAAAAAGAATTAATGTCTGAATGCTGGTAACAAGACTTACAGATTTACTGTCAGGTGGAGCATCAAAATTTCTGCTTTAATGTCACGCCTGATACTTAAAACTTTATTGTTATTGTTTTATGAATGCTTTATAATTCCAACCAGACACGGAGACAGAGGTGAAAGAGAAAGGAAGAGATGGCACCTTTTAAAAAACGTTTTGTGAGGGGATGATTGAAAACAGATCTCTCTCCAAAACCTTGGTGACAGGATGGGATAGCTGCAGCATATGTTTTAATAGTGCTGAATGTGAGGCCCCTGTCCATCGGTATCTGCAGAAACGATAGGTCATCCGACTCGAACAATAGGTCCATATTTTGTGTGTTCTTGCTGTGTTGAGTTTCAAATTCCATCCTTCAGTTCTTTTTAAAACACAGAAAATATTCATTAACCTACCAGTGTGTGTGTGTGTGTGTGTGTGTGTGTGTGTGCGTGTCGCGGTTGAAGGAAGAAGAAGATGTATAAAAACGTACACCATCTGTAACTTACCAGAATGAAAATACTACAGAAGGTGATGTTTGGTCGCCTCACAGCTGTGATCCAACGAGACTTTGTTAAGCTAGATACTCGGTCTCTGTGGTTTTGCCTCTAAGCAGAAAAACTGTGAAACGGTTTTCCACCGTTATTTCCCTGGCGATCACGTGTGTCACCCCCACAACACAGCACCGATTTACAAGAGTTGTTATATAATTGATTAAATGAATAGTAGATAAACTTAAGCAGCCAGAACGAGACTGAGTGCACTGTTTACAGTAGTAAGAAGCAACAAGTAAGGACTCACACGCCTCCAACATGGCGGAAGCGTCGGTGATGATGTCACGATCACAAGCCCTATAGAGCTCCGGGAGTTGACGTCACTTCTCCCGGCATGCAACAGTTCAAATTGAAACGGCGCCATATTGGCAGGCAGAAGCCCGCAGCTGGACTATTTGTTGTTGTCAGAAAACTCAATCAAACGGGAAATATGGTAGATTCCTGTTGTGCCCCAGGATGCAGAACAGACGCGGACGACATAAGGAATGAGCCATCTACAGGATTCCCCAAGATCTGCAGCGCCGCAAACGTTGGATCATTGTGATAAAACGAGCTAGTGACCGGGCTAAAATGAAACTGTGGGACCCCGAGAGTAAAGGTTTTCACTTATGCAGCGACCACTTCATGTCAGGTACTTAAACCAACGTTTCCTCAACTGTGTATGGTATTTATTTTAAATGCTTTTATTATGATTCTTAGTGGGCTTCCTAAACTTATTTTGGCGTGGCTTTTTCTGTCTTATTACTCACAGCAACAAGTAAACATCACGTAAAACGTTGCCTCGTGAGTTCTGTGTGCTGCCGTTTACGTGTTTTATGATCACAGCAATTAACCGATTAAGCTGTATTTAATTTTTAAGCAATGGTTGATCAATTGTCAGATCACACATAAAAAGCACTTTGGATTGCTATTATCTGTCTCACCGAGACAGATCTTAGACAGATCATGAGACGTTCCTGCCTGACATTTTTATTTTATTCACGGAAAAAAATCAGACTAGTGATTTCTCTTGGCGTTCAGTTTATACATTCAAACAGCACAGCACTCTATTTAAACTACTTACGTGTAAATCTGTTATTTGTCCATCCATCCATCCATTTTCATCCGCTTATCCGGAGTCGGGTTGCGGGGGCAGTAGCGTCGAGAGGCCCAGACTTCCCTCTCCCCAGCCACTTGGGCCAGCTCCTCCGGGGGAATCCCAAGGGGTTCCCCGGCCAGGTCCGGTATGAAGTCCGCTCCGACAGCTTCTGGCGTTTTTAAAAAGTATCCCAGGGGCACGGTAAGGGTCGGAGATGTTTAGTCTATTTAATTTCTGACTATATAAAATGATTTCTTCGGTTTTAAAGTGTGAAGTAAACTCCAACGAAGTAAAATCCAAGCCGGTCCCGTTCAATTTGTTTACATTTGTTGCCTGCCAACATGGCGTCTACTCTCTGAGAGTCACGTGACGTCCGGAGCTCTATATTCTGATTTGACATTTCTAATTGAATTTTGTTACTTTTTTGCTGGAGTGTTATTTGAAAATTAAATCTCAAATGTCTTTTTCCTTATCATTTTTATTAAGTCACAGAATAAGCGATTAAGAAAATTAAAAAGCAGTTCGGAAGGTTGCTTATTTGTTTTATTTTTGAGTCCAATTTGGCAGTTCTATTATGAAAATGAAAAATCTTTTCTGCTACTGCATAATAATTTGATTTCTTTTACACATACGCTTCCATATTTTTGTCTTGAAAACTAAAAGTTTTTATTGAAGCAGTTTTTCTTCATCATTTTTGAGCAAATGAACTCACAAGGACTCGATGAAGGCTATTAAAGTGACCACCAGAGGGCAGCCTTGGTTTTCTGCAGGTGTGAACAAAGTCATTTTCAGGCTCCTAGATCTGTTTTTTATTTTTTTCTGGTGATACTTATAGAGTAGCTTTGAGAGGTATGGAGGAACAACAGCATTTATACGCCATAACAGAACCAGCTGTGTACTCAGGAGCACGGTCAGAGCTATAATCATGCTGCAGCAGCACATCCAACTCTACATCTTTGACATTTATGTATTTTTCATGGAGAATCTGTGATGCCGTTTTATCATTAGTTATATTAACTATTCTAATCTGATTTATTTAACTTTAGTCTGTTAATAAAATATTTACTGCACTGTCATCAATAACCTTTCACTCTGCTGTCCACACGTGTTCTGTTTATTCTGCTTTAAACGAATCCTTTAGGAATTCCTGTGGTCTAGTGTCCAGAGATAATTTTCTATTTCCAAGCATCAACATTTCTGGAAAACATTAGTTGAACGTAAACCTCCAGGCTCCCGTAGCAGATTTCTCTCCTTTGGCGGCAGCCTTGCTAAACCATGTTTTCTTCATGGATTTTAACCTAAAGCGTGAACAAATATTAGATTTTCATCCAGATTAGAGCGAACATTAGGGTTTTAGACTGCCGAGTCTAATAAGTAGTGCTTCTAACAGTACTTTAAAAGCTCTAATCTTTCCCTTTAGACTGTGGACTGTGGTTAGTATTTCCCAATTGTTTACATAATCTTGTTGAATAATTCCATTAGTAAGTTTTGACCGAACGAATCCAGATTGGGTAAACCCGGAGCACCTCTGCAGCTCGTGTTTTCGTTCTTCACAGCCTCCTTCTGTTTGTTTACTGCCAGTCAGTTTGTTGGTAAACCTCATGGCTCCAGTGAGAAAGATGGTGTAAAAAGAAAATAAGACTCACACATGGGAATGTCATGAAAATGTACAAAAGTTTAATTGGAATATTAGAAGACAGCGTCTTGCATTATTAAGGCTTCTGATTTGTTACTGCTCTTCATGTAAGAGATCTGCCCTTATTAGGGCCATCTTATTAGCTCCCATCATCATGACTGAACTTCATTTGATCTGACGATTCTTGTCCACACGCCGTGAACACAGGAAAATACCCACAGAAACTAAATAAGTTACTTACTACACCGAAGGAACTACTGAGTAACCCTTCACCTCCAGTGATCACACCTCCCTGCACGATTACAGAATTTATCATCAGATCTCAAGTTCCTCACACACAAAACTACTTCAAACATCTACTCAAACCTTTCCAAAAGGCTCCAAGATGTAGGAAATAATACGTTTTCATTACAAACATGAAACATAATTCATCCAAATCTCAGCCCAGAAACCAGAACGGCTAAAAGGAGGCAAGAGAAGCAGCACCACGGCGGTTCTGCAAAAAGCAAATCCTCAAAGGCTTTTTCTTGACCGAGTCCTCAGAAGGCAATTAGAAAATACAAAAAGTGCATGAAAAATGATTACTGAGGGAGGAGCTTCATCCTCTCCACAGAATACAATCAATACTTTATGGCTTTAACAAGCACAGGCACTTCTGCACCGGTCCATCCTGCAGGAAGCTTGTGGCTGGTCCGACAGGAGGAATCGGTGCAGCAGAGGGAACAGCATCCCTGGTTCATCACCCTGGTACTACAGTAGTAGCACTGTTAGCACATTCAGCACACCTCAGAGTCAGAAAGTGAAAAGAGAACAGAGCATTCTTCATCTCTGTGTGATTTTGCAGCTCCGGAAGGAATAATAGATACAAAAGGCACAGCATTTAACGGAGGTGTAAGTCAGCAGAGAGGCCACCAGAGCGAAACCTGCCAGGTCCTAAGCAGGAGCTTAAGTGGAGTTCAGCAGTTCATCTAAAAAAACAAGATTCTGCTGGTGTCACAGTTCTGGGATCAGCCGGCCTAGCGAGCAGGAGGAGGGCAGGGTTTCTTTCACAGTTCTCAGATTCATCAGCAGCTCCTCGTCCTCTCACTGGATGTGCAGGACGTCACTCTCCTTCATCCCAAACCGTGTCTTGTACTTCTCAAAAAGGCCATGAAGTGATCTGACGTACATCCCATGGTAGAGATCCACCACCTCTGGAGTTGGGTTCTCAATCTTTGGCACAGTTATCGGCTCGCCGACTGGAATCAAAACAACACACAGTTATGGTGCTCCTTAGCTGGTGTGTGATTCAAATATGGCTGAATTACAACTGAGGCGTTGAGATCCATACAGGGTACCAGATGTGACCCAAGACAGGGGACTGTTTTTTTTTTTTTTGCAGAATACATTTAAGATATTTAATCTGCGCTAATCTCAAGGAGAGCCATTAATCTACGTTGTGGGTTATTTGGAGTTTTATGAAGCTCCTGCGATCTTTGCCTCTGCCACCCAGAGGAAATCAGCATGAAACAGTTGGTATCAGACTCAAGTATGGAGAGCAAAAAGGATATCTATCTGATCATCCATCCAAATCCACTCTCCTCTGCTTATCCGATGTTGGGCCACAGCGGCAGCAGCCCAAGCAGAGAGGCCCAGACTTCCCCCTCCCCAGCCTCTTGGGCCAGCTCCTCAGGGGGAACCCCAAGGCGTTCCCTGGCAAGCTGCGAGACAGTCCCTCCAGCATGTCCTGGGCCTTCCTTTAGGTGTCCTTAACCAGAAGCACAAGCCACCTCGACTGGCTTCTCTCAATGTGGAGGAGCAGCGGGTCTACTCCGAGCCCCTCCCAGACGACCGAGCTTCACACCCTCTCTAAGGGAGAGAAAAATCCTTGCAGCTGGTTATGTCCCAATCTCATTCTTTAGGTCACTACCCGAAGCTCATTACGACAGGCGAGGCGCAAAGTTAGAATATGGAACATTTTAATAAAAAGCTAAAAAAAACAATAATAATAATAATATTAATAGCCCCACGGGGCAGTTTGGAGAAAAGCAGAATGAATGTACAGTTTCTCCTTTTAAAGCTATAATTAAAAAGATAAATAATCAAATTTTTATTTTGTTGGGCACAACACTGTTTATGTTCACATCTACCAACCACTAGAGGGCACTGTTGCGCAAAAGTCCACTCAGAAAGGCGAGGTTGGGACTGTGTAAAATGGCAGACTAGACCAGTCAAGCAGCTGCTTCTGAGCCCAGAAGATGTTCTAATGGTAAATACTGGTGTAAAATAAACTTATTAGCAGAAACGAGTCCTCATCCTGTACCATTTGTCAATGAACACGGTGCTGGAACGTGTCAGCCAACATCCCAGCGGCTGGAAAATTCCATATTCAACCTTTAAGCCTAGTTTATGCCTCTGCTTCACCTCCACAAGGGAGAGACGCACTCGCATCAACAGAGACGTTCTGCTCTCGGACTTCTCAGTCTCCTGAAGAGTGTTGCAGAGCTGTTTCCTCCTATCTTTGGCTTTCTTTATGTTTTTGAGGGCGCCATGGCGGTGCTTGGCACATTCACGCTGGCTGCCCGTGACCTTCAGGTCCGTTTTAAAATTTTCCTCTTTGCCAATAAGACATTAAACGGCCTGGCAACCTCTCACATTACAGAGCTGCTCAGCCCCATGCGCGAGTGCGCTCTGATGTGAGCAGACTGCGTGCTGCTGTGTGCCCCAAAACGAAATATAAAGCAAGGGGAGAGCAGGCTTTTGTGCTTGCTGCACCTGTCCTTTGGAATGTTTTCACCTTTCTCCATGTGGCAGTCACCATCGGTCTGTCTTCAAGCAAAGACTGAAGACCCATTTCTACGACCTGCCTTTTTGGCTTATGACTACCTTCTATGCTCTGCAGCGTACCAAATGGTCAAGTTAACTTTTAACTTACAGGTCAAACTTCTTCATACAGGTCAATCTGACACCGTGGTGCTGATATGAAGGTTATGAACTTGCACCAATACTCTTAACTTATCCTGTGGTCTGCCAGAACATCATCAAGGCTGCAGAAGACGCAGGACGTCTTATCTATCCTCTTAGAATAAAGTTAGTCTCGCCTGGCTCATAAACGACTTTATAACTTTATGAGTTTATATAATCATATTTTGTTGAATGGACTATCCGTTTAAGTCCTAAGTGTTTTAATAGTGTGTGCTATACTCTACATTAATGAATGATGGTTAACATGAATGTTATTCCTGTAATGGTTTGTTTTAGAGCTTAAATTACACCAGATTAGTAATTGTTGGATTTAATGGTAACTTATCAGTATAGTCACACATCATTATATTATTAATGTTTAACATTTACTTCACAGTAATGTTTAACATGTTTTTACTTCACATTAAGATATAACCTCCAAGTGTCTGAATGAAGGAGGGATGTCTCAGGTATTTTGGCAACACCCTTTAAACTTGTCACATTCTGATAAGCCTAAATTTGTCAACACTTTTCAACAAAGGCTTGTTCACTTCCTGTATTAACCAGTTCTCAGCCAGCTTCCCGGTTAGGCCGAACGGGTGAGCAAAGCACTTGGAACCATCATACGCTACAACCCTTCAGATGTGGAACATCAAACCAACATACCCTGGTAGCATCTTATGGCCGGTGATAATTGAAATCAAAGGGAACTACGACTCCAGGAGCCACTACATTCGGTGGCATCACCATTCTGACTGCCTTTCCTCCGGTCCGCCAAGAGCTGCCGTCACACACAGGTACCGTAGATCTGCACACTGGAGTGGGGTGGTTTCCCATGAATAATTGATAGTTTGTTAAACCAGACAGTCAGAATGATTTTACAACCCAGGATCGAGAAAATTCTTAGATACTTAATAAGGTTTTGCTACAAACATCTAAGCTTATATCCATTATTTCATTCATTGTCTGTTATCTTGTCCAACCATCATTCATCATTAGTTCTGTGTCATCATTAGTTTAGAAATATAGAATTAATTTTTATAAACCATTTACTTGACTGTCTGAATTAATATGAAGTGTGTGTTTTCCTGAATAGCCCAAAGAACCTACGGTAATTTTAAATCAAATATTCATAGAACAATCAGACAGAATTCGTATTTATATGGAATATCACCTCTTATTGATCATTAATAGGTGTAAACACTTCAATCACATTACAGTTGTTGTCTTAGATATTGTTTTTATATACAAGGCATTTTTTTATTATTTGTGTGTTTTTATCTGCTTTTATCGACTGTTTTATTTGCATCTTTAATTCTCTGTCCTATGTTGTGAGGTGCTTTGGTCAGCTCTCATGCTGTTTTTAAATGTGCTATATAAATAAACTTGTATGGTATGGTTTTGTTGACAAAAGCAGCATCCTGACCAATCATAACCTGGCATACTCCATCTCGTTGGACAGATGTTTAGAAAAGTGGGCTCGACTCTATCCGTCCTGCTGGAGAGACCTCGCAAGGACGGATAATGGCGTTGCGTGTCTCCGTGTTGACGCAAAAGCATAAACTAGGCTTTAGACTGTAGACTGACCACCAGGTAGTGGCCAGTTGGCAGCTCCGCCCATCTCTTCACCTAAAGTGTCCAAGACATGCAGCTGCAGATCAGATGAGACGACAAAGTCGATCATCACGCTAACCTGTGGTATCCTGATGCCAAGAGCACATAGACACCTTTCTGTCTGAACATGGTGTTCATTATGGACAATCCATGACCAGCACAGTCATTCCATGTACTGTGAACAAGCTTCTGTAAGCAAGGATCAGACTGCCAAGGTCCCCACCTTTGGCTACCATCCATCTCAAAATGCCCCCGACCCCAGCTGAGTCTTGGGTCAGGTCTGCAGCAATACATATGGACTTAACACCTACCTACGGTGGTGATGGGGTTGGAAAACGGCACAATGCCCCAGGAGCTGCCGTAGAAAAGACATGGAGCAAAGCCCAAAATCTTCTGTAGCTTCTTCTGCAGGGATTTCCAGCAGGTGCCCTCCTCAAAGAACACCTGCTTGTATGCGTCGTTTTCTCCAAAGGAATACACCGGAACTAGATCGGATCTGTGAGAGAACAACAGCAGTAGAAACAATGGTAGGTCAGTTAAATATGCTTGGTTTCCACTGACAGGTATTTGTAAAACCAGCATTATTTATACGTCTGTTATTATTGTTCCTCTTCCACAATGGTTCCCTAAAGCCCCTATCCAACACAACTGATGCATGGTTGAATCATCTGTTCAGCAGCTCATCAAGCTCTGAAGAAGCCTGTCAGTCACCTGCCATTTAAACCAGGGCCTTTATTTATCAACTGTACTTATGCACAGATCTGTGCATTTTTCGTGCCTAGGAACTAATATATGCATTGTGTGGGATTCATCAATTTGTGCTTGTGGGTGGAAACGTTCCTGAATACAAGAAAACCTCAGACTATGCTTACAAACAGCATCTAGTGGTAGAACGGGGGAACCACAACACTGAAGGTCCCAGTTGTCTACAAATGTTCCTCAACCACCAATAATTCTACCCAATAAATAATTATTTGGGTGGAAAATCAGCTGTGTCACATAATCTGCATTAAAACCTATAGAAGACACATGGAACCAATGGGGATCTGACATTGTAGATTCTTATCTGAGGCCATGAGAATATCATTTGTAACTTTCACTAATGCAGTTTCAGTGCTGTGATACTCTCTAAAACCAGACTGAAATTCCTCAAACAGAGCATTAGTGTTTAAATGCTCACATACTTGGATGGCCACTATTTTCTCCTGGACTTTGGATAAAAATGGAAGGTTAGATATTGGTCTATAATTCGTTGGGTCATCTGGATCCAAAGAAGGCTTCTTAAGTGAAGGTTTGATTACAGCAACTTTAAAATCCTGTGGTACGTATCCATTTACTAAGGATAGATTGATTATCTAGAATGGGTGCAGCAACCAAAGGAAATGCATCTTTAAATAATTTGGTTGGGATTGGATCTAAAATACAAGTTGGTTTAGATGAAGCTAATATTTTTGATAACTCTAACGTCCAGCAACGGTCAGTTTGGGTACTGTTTGACCTTTCAACATCTGGTCAAAAAGGAGACACGAGACTGCACGTGTTCCCTTTAAATCAGCCTGCCTTTCATCCCACCAGCTGGAGCTCAGAGCCTGCAACTCTGACAGAGATAATAAAATCATAATAACATTCTCTCCTTCCAAGGTCCATCACAGAGCAACCTTTTATCCAAGTCTCCTTGCCTCACAGAAGAACAGAAGATGATTTTTAAAATAAAATATGAACTTCTAAAATTTACGAGCTAGATAATCATTAAATAAACGTTTGTTTATTGCTACTTATAATAATTATAAAATAATGAAATGTTCATTAATCTGTGCTCAGTGATATACGTTTCAGCATGTTTACTTGACAAGGTCATAACATTTGCACTCACACAAGAACAAAGTAAGGTTAAAGTTAAATCCATGACACATAATTAGCCTTTACCCCAGATCAGAGCCTCTGGATCAAAGAAGGCGTGTTTCTGAGATTCTTGGTAATATCCTCAAACATGTCAACCTTTGGTTGGCTACACAATCATAACATGAGAACATTAAAACCAGATCACTCTGGTGATTCAGATAGAGACAGACTATAGTGAAATTTACTTTCATGTCTCGAGAACTCGGTTATAAAAAACTCAAAGGTTATCAGAAAGTGGTCCGAGAGGACTGGATTATGTGGAACTACTGATATGGCGTTTACACATTAGCATCGGCATGGTCGGGGATTGGTGGGGCTGGATGGCATGAGTTCGGTCTCGAACGGGTGGTATAGTGTTCACATAAGTCCGAGGGACTTCTCAGGAATGCAGAAATCCGAGCCTGTGGGCAGCGTTTAGTACGTGTGGGAAAGGCCGCGGCGTCCTCCATCAGAAGGTAAACACAGGCAGGCATGAGCTGTGCTACTGTTGGAGGCTCTGAACCACATTATTTTATTAATTTGCTGTGTGTGTCCTCATGATCTTGTGTGACACACACACACACACACACACACACACACACACACACACACACACACACACACACACACACACACACACACACACACACACACACACACACACACACACACACACACACACACACACACACACACACACACACACACACACACACACACACACACACACACACACACACACACACACACACACACACACACACACACACACACACACACACACACACACACACACACACACACACACACACACACACACACACACACACACACACACACACACACACACACACACACACACACACACACACACACACACACACACACACACACACACACACACACACACACACACACACACACACACACACACACACACACACACACACACACACACACACACACAAGCTCCGTGCTAGAGACCTAGAGACAGAAGTTTACTCAACAGCAGTTGAGTCATTATAATCGCAGATCGGAGGCGGTAGGCGTAGTTTAAGCTGGCCAATCAGTCCGTAGTGTCACCTCGGTCCCAGTCTGACCGCTGGGGAGGAGGTCTGGAGAAAAAAAAATAAATCGCCTCAGATCCTAAAACAGAAATCTGACCCGTATGTGAAACCAAATTCAGGTCCGTAAGGGACCGAACTGACGCTAATGTGTGAATCTTTTCCTCACACTCTCTGCCACAAGGTCTAATGAATGATGGCAGGAGTGGGTGGAGCTAATAATTGGTAAGGGACTGATTAATAGGCCTGGATGAAAAATGTTGGCTGTATTGAGCTAAAATGTGGTGCTTTAGCAGCCGAGTCAATCACAACACGAGCTACCCATATTACCCTAAGATGGTTTAGCTTCTCATCAGAGGAGCTTGTCAATTTGTCAATTTTTGATCGGATGTGAAATCGCTTCAAGAAACCAAAGTCCAGTTGCCTTCATTTGAACTCTTTTGGATTACCATGACCTGTATGACTGAGAACCATGACCAGCATACCTATACCGCCACCAGGTTGTGATTCTTAGTCCAAAACTCTGACTAACCCAGGCAACATTAGTGATTATTTACTAGTCTTTCTTCTTCCTGCTGGCACTTTTTCCTGCAAAACAAAAAGCGATTTACCCAAACTTGTTATTTAACAAGTTGCAACATCATCCCTGTTTTATAAGCACCAAAACTGAACTGGAAAAGTTCTAGGAGGCCTGTGCCAGATGTGACCTAGAGCAGATTTATGGCTTAAACAATAACCCAGTTGTTATGAATAAAGGTCCACATAGCTGCATGTCTACCTGCAGCAGGTCCTGACCTCCATTTAAACAAGGTGCATACAACGATGTGATAATCTGGTGATGAAGCAGAGGAGTTACTACCAGATGAATGTGAGGCTGCGGGTCAGACAGGGTCGGCACAAGCCCACAGGTGAAGGGACAACATGGCACAGTCACAGGAGAGTTAGTAACACCCTCTCTAAGCTTTTCTAACCTTTCTGGAGGCAACAATATGGGACTTAATACTTTCAGGGAGTCACAATCGAGCGGGGAGAGACATTTTATCACCAGAGAGGCTGGTGTTCATCCACTCACCCTTTCTGCAGGGCCAGTTTCACAAAGCCTTTACGGTTCTGCAGAGTGACAGAATTCATGCCAGGAGCACAGTGCAGAGACTCTGCAGCTCCTCCAACGACGATAACGACGGCGTTCCCAGTTCCGTTACAGGACAGCAGGTAGTCCATAGAGTTCTTGTTCACTGGGCAGATACCTAAAGGGAAAGAGATATGCAGAAGGTAGCTGCAATGCTTGCAGTTTTCCCTTAAAACAGAATTAATACAGTACAAAGGCTGTTCCCATCAGAACAGCAGTAGTGATAACGTCTGAAGTTTATCTACAGAAGGAGCTTTGTGAGCAAACGCCTTCAGAATACCTTAGAGCTCTTTAATCAGTCAGCAAACAGAAGCCATTCCAGCTGTGCAACAGGACAAAGGTCTGCCCTCAGACAAACAGTTTTCAGGCTAGCGCTCACCCCCAGACATCAGGTAGTCTCGAAGGACAGGCAGACGGAAGTTTCCCGCCAGGGTCGCCAAGGAGGGCTTGATGCCTGGGAACTTCTTTGAGAAGCTTGTTGCCTCCGTTCCAAAGTTACAGAAAGCACCAAAGCAGAAGATGCCGTGGGGGTGGTAGCCAAAGACGTAGTTCCTACTGGGCAGCAGATCGTGGGTTTTAATGAGCTGAAAGACAAAAAGTATGAAGATGATGAGCAGGAGGCTGCATGAGGGGCTCGCCATGAGGAGGACCAGGTCCAAACATCACTAGGAAGCTTAAGATAGACTGTTGCTGGGCGACAGAACAGCCAAATAGATTTCAAAATAACTTTTCCTTGATAGACATGAGAAAGGGTTGATAGAAACGTTGATGTGAAGAACAGATGAACAGCCAGTCATAATAAGTGTTTTTCTGCGCTGGACCAATTCAGTTAATTTATACAACACTAAATCAGGACAAGAGTCGTCTCAAGGACCTTCACAAAGTAAACAATACAGGTCAGGTCATTAAGCCAATCAGTAAAAAGTTTCCTATAAAAGGAACCCAGCAGGTTGCATCGAGTCACTGACTAGTGTCAGAGTCTTTACAGCAACCCTCATACTAAGCAAGCATTCAGCAACAGTGGAGAGGAAAACATCCTTTTAACAGGAAGAAACCTCCGGAGGATCCTGGCTCAGTATAAGCAGCCATCCACCACAACTCACTGGGGATGAAGACAGTGTCATCGTTGACCTCCAGACTTTCCAGGATGGAGGTGTTAGCAGGGCCAAGGCTGCTATCCTCAACGACATCATCATTTTCTTTTTCGGCCCATCACCTGAAACTTCTGCAGCCGAGAATAACTGGAGCGCCACGTTCAGCGGGTACGTCTCAGCCCCTGGGAAGACGCTGTCTGAGGCAGACGTGAAAAGGTCCACATGGTAGATCTTCTCAGCCGATGGCAGAGCAGCACAGACAGGGCAGGAGGCCTGCAGCATTAGAGCAAGGCCCGCATGATGAGCCTTGAGACAGACCTCATATGGTGGAGGTTGTCTCTCATGATGTAGCCACAGTCCAAAGCTGGTTCTGATCTTAACTTGAAGACCTAGGTCATGTTTCTATTGGTGATCACAAATCAAAGCTGATCACCATGATATGTGGGGTCCCTCAAGGCTCAATTCTTGGACCACTGCTCTTCAACCTCTACATGCTGATGGCCCCCAGATCTACGTAGCCCTATCACCTAGTGACTTTGGTCCTCTAGACTCACTCTATTAATGTTTGGAGCAAGTTAATGAATGGATGCTACCAAACATCCTCCAGTTAAACAAAGACAAGACCATCGACATTAATATAAGACTGAAGACTTGAAGACAAGACTGAAGTTATTGTCTTTGGAAGTCAGGACAGGATGGAGGTTACTGCTCAGCTTGGCTCCAGAGGAACAAAGACAAAGACTCAGGTTAGATATCTTGGTGTCATAATTGATTCAGACCTGATCTTCACTGATCACATTAAGGCTATAACTAGATCAGTGTTGTATCATCTGCATCAAACAGCACGACTCAGAGGTCTCATGTCCAGACCAGACCTAGAGAAACTCATTCATGTGTTCATCTCCAGCAGGCTGGACTACTGCAGTGGTCTTTTGACTGGTATTCCCAAAAAAGCTGTGAAACAGCTGCAGCTTATTCAGAATGCTGCTGCTAGTCTTAACCAGAATCGAGCACATCATTCCTGTTCTTAGATGTCTACACTGCTTACCAGTAAACTACAGAATCAACTTCAAAGTACTTCTACTAGTTTATAAACCACTCAGTGGCATGGGACCAGAACACGTCAGATCTCCTTCAGGTATCTACGCCCAGCAGGGCTCTGAGATCCTTAGGAAACAGTCAGCTGGTAGAACCGGGTCAGAACCAAACAGGGTGAAGCTGCTATTAGCTACTATGCTGCTCACAGATGGAATCAGCTTCCTCATGACCTCAGATGTGCCCCGACTCTAGAAACTTTTAAATCCAAATTAAAAAACGTCATGTTTTCATCAGTCTTCGTATGAATGTTCCGTTCACCCTTTAACTTTGTTTCTTTTCATTTTTAAATTGTATTTTCTATCACATTGATTTTAATGCTCTTGCTGTTCTTACTAATGGAAAGCACATCGAATTGCCTCGGTGTGTGATGCGCTATATAAATAAAGCTGCCTTGCCTTGTATGGCAGCTCCGGATGGCGTAATTGTTTCCTTTTTACAAAAGATTATGCAATGGTGGTATCAAAGTGATTTTGGGGGTCGGTCTCTGCACTGCGGCGTACCTCCGTTTAGGTCTGAAACGAATCTTTGAATGATTCGAATGGTTCAATTCAATAAATTCCTCGATTCATTCTTTACTGATTCAAAGTTTCGTTAAATATGTGCACCACAGTCTGAACACAGTTTACTGGAGCGCTACGTGGAGATCTAGGTGCTGTGGAGGAAAATAGAGAAACCAGCACAGACACAAACCATTGGAAAAACCAGTCCAACGTTTGGGATCAAGAGTTTAAACTACGAGCAGAATTGTTAAAGTTAAAGTCCCATCAGTTGTCACACACACTGATGTGTGTGCGAAATTCGTTCTCCGCATTTGACCCATCCCCTGGGGGAGCGGTGAGCTGCAGACACAGCCGCGCTCGGGAACCATTTGGTGGTCTAACCCCCCAATCCAACCCTTAATGCTGAGTGTCAAGCAGGGAGGCATTGGGTCCCATTTTTTCAAAGTCTTTGGTATAACCCGACCAGGAATCGAACCCTGATCTCCCAGTCTCAGGGTGGACACTCTTTCACTAGGCCACTGGCTCATGCTAAGCTAGCACCAATGTGATGGTTGTGACGACTTAACTCCACCAGTGGAAGAAAAATGCCACCCCGTTTGTGTGAGGATGTCCGCAGCGGTGTGGAGCAGAGCTGCTGCAGCTACCTGGAGTCTGGGTTGTTGCTACGAGTCTGCTCCACACACACCGGAGCTCCTTATGGCAAGTCATTGTAGGAGGTAATCCACAAAAGCTTTTACATTTGAATCGATTTAGACTGGATTATGTTGCCAACCTACATTATTAAATATATATGCCACCTTAACATTGTTACTAGTAGAAATGAGATATTAGCATTTCCAGAAGCTCACTCCTGAACATGTTGAAATAATTACATTCTACTGATCATTTATGGATATGTTTAGATATGTTATTTCGACTAGGATGAGTGATATGAATGCAAACCTAATCAGCTGGGAAAGACGGAACAACACGAGTTTTATCATTTTGTTGTTTTACTTTCATATCTTTAGCAGCAGACCAGTCTTGTTTCACTTGGAAAGTCGTCAAATAGAATACTCGATTAATCGATGGAGGATTCGATAGAATACTCGAATACTAAAATATTTGATAGCTGCAGTCCTACTTCTGTTTCGCTTTGACATAAGTTGCTTGTAATTGCAATCGAAGCAAAGGTTTTTTTGACAAGCTGCTGCTAAAGTTGGCTGGTACTTACAGTTCCTGTGAACCAGTAGTTTATCTGAGCTCGAGCTCTAATGGAGAGAGGCTCCCGAAGCTCTGCATCGCACCAGTTTATCATCTCAGCTGGTTCCGTTCAAAAAGTGAAACTCACGGCTAGGGCCGGACAATAAATCCAAAATTTATCATTATCGACATTTCTGACTCTTAGAGATACTTTTTCCCGTGTCAATAAATTTGATAATAAAAAAAATTAAAAGATGTGTAGGTTGGCAACGTTCATGTACCTTTAAGAAGCTGTACCACCTTGAGTCACATAAAAACGTGACTCAGTGTAATACACGTGACAGCCCCATCTAGTGGACAACTTTTGTTTCTGCGCATACCTGTGGTTACCAACCATTTATCGTTATTGAGGTGAAATCCTCAATATATCTTCGCTCACGGCAGTGTTTACATTCCTTTTTAATAGTTTCCTGCCAGAGCTGGGCAATAGCTCTCCACGTGATCATGACACCTCCCTCTGTTGCGCCAAGGCGTAATGTGCATTCACAAGTTCGGCGTTGTAGTAGTATTACTACTAAGTGTGGCGGCACGAATGCTGCAAAAATCCCGCATCGCATGCCCTCACAGTGCGTTCACATGACAAACCATGGTGGCAGTCTTACACTGATTTGCTAGCATGGCGTGTCTTCTACAAAGGGCTTTTGGTTCTTTAAACAGCTCTGGAGCGGTTTGCCTGCCGGCGTCAAAACACAAATGCAGATGCAGCAGCGTTAGCCGGCACAGACTCCGCAACCCCGCAGGCTCAGAGCGTAAACAGTAGCTACGTCTCTCTTCTGCCTTGATGCAAGAAGAAAAACAGACAACCCCCCAGCCGGCTGAGTTCCATGTAGCCTTCCTTCCAACTGTTGTTTCACTGTAAAATTCTTACTTATTGTCCCTTTAAGTAGGGTTTTAGTAACGATCCTACACAAAGTTTTAGAAACGAACCCCCAGCAAACCAATCCCCACGTCAAAGAGAACCAGAGTAAATACAAAATCCTGGTTTAATGTCTAAATAAATAAAAAAGTTCCAATCCAACCAGGTTCTACTGGGAACCAGATATGATCTCTTAATTCCGCCACGTTAAAAAGGCTTAAAGGTTGAAGGTCAGACTTTCTCCAAGGCCAGCAGAGTTCTGGACTGAGAGGGTGCTCGCTGCAGAACTACAAAAACAGAGCTGCACCATAAGGCGGAGCTGCACCATAAGGCGGAGCTGCACCAGAGTCAGCCCCGCCCACTCATGCAAACTCAGCATAGCCCACTGACTTCTTCTGTTTTTGTTTTTCAACTTTATCGCAAACTAACCTGACCCACATGAATTACGGCTGTTACTAGTTTACAACTGTTAACTCTATGTTCTATGCTCCAATTAAACAAGAAAAATATAACTTGCTACATGACAAAGCCTGAATATATCCCAAAATGAAAAGGTTTATTTTAGCGAATTTCTGCCCACAGCCGCTCCAACAAAAGCGGCGTACAACAGCATTTAACACTATCGTGTGGGTTCTGGTAGTCCAGTGGCAAGATTGTTTGCCTTAAGTTTTGCTTTCCCCTCAGCTGATGCTGGTTCGACTCTCGGTGGGGTCGGCAGCAATCTATTTAGCCAGCTGAAACATTTCATTTGTTTATATTTTAGTTGTAATGTTTATTTTCTGCTAAATATTTATGTCTCTAAAAGTTCTTTGAATTTGGTCGTTCCTAAACAGCATTTTAGTTGAAACTCTGCTCACAAATGGACTCACACTGCCTAAATAAACGAATAAATAAAAAACACAGACATTATATTTTAAATGGTATACCAATAAATTGTTGTAAACATAGTACTGGCAAGTGTAGCTAGAAAAGAAGAAAAGGGGTTGTAAACCACCTGCCGCTACTAGGAGGCGAATCTGCGCAAAATTGCATGCTAATCTGACTCCATAACAACGTCACCACTACAACTGGTATAAAGCAAGTGGCGTTACATGTAATTGTGCCATCCAGTGTGTCTTTGCAGATGGGATGTATGGTTTTTCCAGCGGTGTCTAAGTAGAAGTCATTTCAGAAATAATTTGTCAGAAAATTCACAGAATATCCAGATTTGAGAACCAAAACCAAACCCGCTTCGGGGGGGACACGACCAAATTGAAGCTGAGATGGGAGGAAAATGCATGAATGACGCCAAAAATGGCTTTGGCGTGTTTCTAATGAGGGAATGACAATATAACACGGTAAAAAGTTCCAAAAGTTAGATTTTTAATTATATAGAACCTCAACTCCGTCCTCAATCTTGCATTTTAGATGATATTAGCTATGACACCCTCTTTGGTTCCAGAATGCTATCAAGTCTGACAACTGGAAGGAATTGGACTGACTCTGATGGAATGGGCGGGGCTGACTCTGGTGCAGCTCCGCCTTAGTGGTTCTGAAGCGAGCACCACTTGTCTGGACTTGGAGCACTCCCATGGAGGTCTTATTTGCTGGTTATATAGCTGGAGACTGGAGTGAAGCCTGATGAGGATCTGATTAACGAGCGATAAACATCTCCGCTTCAGAAACAAACACGCTCCTGCAGTCATGTGGATGTTTCTAACAGGACAAAGAGGATGAAGCTGGGATCAACGGTCTGATCTCGTCAACTCTACTGGAGACTACACCAGGCAGATCAATACGATTACCAAAGTTCAGCGTTTCAAACACACCTAAATCCTCTAATCTGATCCTTTTTTGTTCTCCAAGTCAGGGGTCAGTTTCGCTGTGATCTGATTCTGGCTCATCTCTAAAAACACGTTTCAGGCTTTCAGACTTACAGCCCAGATAAAAACAAATGAACAGAAATGACATCTGTAGCCTTGTTATTTCAAACCTCCTAAACATTTGCCAGACACTTTAGCTAATCTAACAAATTAAGGTTTCAGACTTGCCAACTGAGCCTGGTCATGACTAAAAACTGGCACTTTTCTGGACTTTTTCACGTCCAACCACTTTCCAGTGACCGTGCTGTTATGACAAACCCACAGAGAAGGATTTGTCCGGTTACTGGGAATGGCCAGCCTAACTGGTAATACTCAGGTAAACTCCTTTCCGATTCTGGATTCCCATCATGTCCAAACAGCAGTAGCAGGGCTTCCATGTGGAAGGCAAGATCCTCATCTGAACACACTTCAGCCTTGACCTTTGACCGCTCCAGGGGTCCAACTCAGCTGCTGCCTGTTCAAACGGATGTGTGTGATAACACACTCCTCCATCCTGCCCCGAAGACTCTCAGAACAAAGTCTTGCAGCTCAGACCAACGCGTCAGCCCTCATTAACACGGGCCAAGGGACAGCTGATAGTCCATTTACCAGATTAGCCTTATCTACAGAACCACAACAACCTGCACTCATCAGGCTGTACCAATGTTTGGTCCACACCGCAGATTTCAGGACTCATCACCTGCTGTCCTGGCTCTTCTGGTTGAAACTCATTTAGTGTTAGGGCACAGGCAAAGACCCCTACTCACCCTGATGGGAAAATAATCACGGAAATACGTCCACATCGTCCAGTTCCTCACCCAGGAGGACCTCCTGCCACCTGAGAAAAAAAGCATCCATTAGAAATCAATGACTCTTAAGATTTGAAAACTGCTAATCCAATGGCGTCTGCATGAAGGGAAGTGGATTTCCTTGGCTTCTGGGGAGGGTCAAGCTTGCATTCATTGGAACTGGATGACTGAGAACTTTCACCAGCATATTTAAAAATGGGCTACATGCTTCAGAATGTTCAAGTTAATTTATAAAATGTGATGTCAGCTAGAAACCTGATTTAATGATCTTTAAATTTTATTCATTTAATTATTTAATAACTTTTTTACTTTAAAAATTCTCAGGAAGTTTCACGAGCTGAAATATGTTTATATTAAAGTAACAGGAAAACTAAACGCTGGCAGCGCCAACCATTAGTCTCCAACAAGAATCCAACCAAAGAGAGAAAAGCGTCCGTCTGTGTCCTCCTCCACACGTGAAGAGACCACGCCAACTCCACACATATGGGGAGGAGAACACGCCAGCTCCACACATGAGGAGAACACGCTAACTCCACACATGAGGGCACGCCAACTCCACACATGCATGAGGAGACCACGCTAACTCCACACATACATGAGGAGAACATGCCAACTCCACACATACATGAGAACATGCCAACTCCACACATACATAAGGAGAACACGCCAACTCCACACATACATGAGGAGAACACGCCAACTCCACACATACATGAGGAGAACACGCCAACTCCACACATACATGAGGAGAACATGCCAGCTCCACACATACATGAGGAGAACATGCCAGCTCCACACATACATGAGGAGAACATGCCAGCTCCACACATACATGAGGAGAACATGCCAGCTCCACACATACATGAGGAGAACATGCCAGCTCCACACATACATGAGGAGAACACACCATCTCCACACATACATGAGGAGAACACGCCAACTCCACACATACATGAGAACACGCCAACTCCACACATACATGAGGAGAACATGCCAACTCCACACATACATGAGGAGAACACGCCAACTCCACACATACATGAGGAGAACACGCCAACTCCACACATACATGAGGAGAACACGCCAACTCCACACATACATGAGGAGAACACGCCAACTCCACACATACATGAGGAGAACACGCCAACTCCACACATACATGAGGAGAACACGCCAACTCCACACATACATGAGGAGAACACGCCAACTCCACACATACATGAGGAGAACACGCCAACTCCACACATACATGAGGAGAACATGCCAACTCCACAGATACATAAGGAGAACATGCCAACTCCACACATACATAAGGAGAACATGCCAGCTCCACACATACATGAGAACATGCCAGCTCCACACATACATGAGAACATGCCAGCTCCACACATACATGAGAACATGCCAGCTCCACACATACATGAGAACATGCCAGCTCCACACATACATGAGAACATGCCAGCTCCACACATACATGAGAACATGCCAGCTCCACACATACATGAGAACATGCCAGCTCCACACATACATGAGAACATGCCAGCTCCACACATACATGAGGAGAACATGCCAACTCCACACATACATGAGGAGAACATGCCAACTCCACACATACATGAGGAGAACATGCCAACTCCACACATACATGAGAAGAACATGCCAACTCCACACATACATGAGGAGAACATGCCAACTCCACACATACATGAGGAGAACATGCCAACTCCACACATACATGAGGAGAACATGCCAACTCCACACATACATGAGGAGAACATGCCAACTCCACACATACATGAGGAGAACATGCCAACTCCACACATACATGAGGAGAACATGCCAACTCCACACATACATGAGAACATGCCAACTCCACACATACACGAGAACATGCCAGCTCCACACATACATGAGGAGAACATGCCAGCTCCACACATACATGAGGAGAACATGCCAGCTCCACACATACATGAGGAGAACATGCCAACTCCACACATACATGAGGAGAACATGCCAACTCCACACATACATGAGGAGAACATGCCAACTCCACACATACATGAGGAGAACATGCCAACTCCACACATACATGAGGAGAACATGCCAACTCCACACATACATGAGGAGAACATGCCAACTCCACACATGGGGGAACAAGAATCAGATTCAAGCACCAGAGTTGGGGCCACACACCACACAGATGTTTTGTGTTTTCGTTTAATGACTTAGCATGTAACCTTGTCTAGGCGTGTTCCAGTCCATGATCAGCCAGGCGGTGTAAACGGCAGCGATGAGCCAGCAGTCGGTACAGAACATGTAAACCAGCAGCAGGGTGCAGGCGATACCTGGAGGACAGGAGGAGTGGATGAGACCAGAACTCATGCATCACTTCGATGTAAACAAAGACCAACACACCCACCCATGGCTAGAAAGGAGAGAACCCACTGTAGCACAGAGATGACCTGCAGATGTTTCTCCACCTTGGACCTGCATGGCCAGACAGCTGAAGGCAGGTCCTGCAGGGAAGAGAAGATGCTGGAGCCAGTGCCTGCACACAAAACCAAATCCCCTTGGATTATGTTTATGTTTATGTATTTAGCAGACGCTTTTGTCCAAAGCGACTTACAAGTGATACTCAGTATGTTGCCCTCGAGGCTAACAACAACAATAACAACAACAACTTGACATCAATCATGGAGAGGAGGGAACAAGGAGTGGACAGCAGAGAGGGGGACGGGTGCAGGGAGGGTGTTTAGAAGACGCTCTCTGAAGAGCAGGGTCTTCAGGAGTTTCTTGAAAATTGAAAAGGAAGCCCCTGTTCTGGTAGTGCTTGGAAGGTCATTCCACATTTGTGGAACGATGCACGAGAAGAGTCTGGATTGTCCTGAGTGTGGTGTAGGCACGGCTAGTCAACAATCCTGTGATGACCGGAGCGGCAGGGCCGAGATGTAAGCCTTTGCCAGAGGATTCATTTAGATGGGAGCCGTACCATCTCGGACTTTGTATGCTAGTGATAGCTATTTGAATTTGATGTGTGCTGCTAGCGGTAGCCAGTGGAGCTCAATGAACAGAGGGGTGACGTGTGCTCTTTTTGGCTGATTGAAGACCAGACGCGCCGCTGCGTTCTGGACCATTTGAAGAGGTCTCACAGTACAGCCTGGAAGACCAGTTAGAAGGGCATTGAAGTGATCAAGGTGGGAGATGACAGTAGATGGCAACAGGAGCTGGGTGGCATGTTGTGTTAGGTATGCTCTGATCTTTCGTATGATATACAGCGCAAAGCCCCATGAACGAGCAACAGAGGCAACATGATCTTTAAAGGTCAGGTGTTCATCAATCACAACACCCAGATTTCGAACTGCCTTTGAAGGAGCCAGAGATAGGAAGTCATTTTGGATTGAGATATTGTGCTGTGTGGATGGTTTCGCTGGGATTAGAAAAACAGTCCGATTCACAGCCATGCGACCTCAGAGAGGGCTATCAGGCTTTAAGATACAATAAAAATATCATTTATTGCCCCACAGGGGGCTGCTTCAGGTGCACCAGCAGCTAGTTACAGGTGAAAAGCATGGCTATCTACACAAAGGTAAACAATAAAATACAAAATCTAAAAAAAAAAAAATTGTTCAGTAATTTTTGTAGAGAGCAGCCATGACGATGCTGGGCTAGGGTTACAGCTGCTGGGAGGAAGGATAAAGCTGGGATCTACCTGGATGCACCCGTCACCGGAAGCTGCAGCATGAGCGAATCGATAATCCACATTAGGAACATCTAAACCGGTCAGGCTGAGATCCTGGACTCCAGGAAAAACGCTAACTTTTAATCCCTCCTGGGCTCTGAAAACAACCCAGCAGCAGCACTCTCCCTCAGACGGAGCCCAGCAGGTACCGGTTTAACCTGAGCGGCTCTGCTGGTGATGGCAGGGTCACACACGCCTTCCAGGAACTCATGATGTCCTTCACAGAAGAACCGGTGAAGTTTAAACCATGACTTTAGGTTTCAGCCCCAGCTGTCTCTACTTGTGTGTGTGTGCGTGTGCGTGTGTGTGTGACAGAGAGACCATGCTGGTCGGATGTTTAATTAACTTCAGCACCAATCCCGTTCCAGACACGCTGTTCTTAATGCCGTTTAGCTCTTTGGTTGATGAAATATTTTGGGATGTAAAACCAACACCTCCTGTTAAAATGAAAGCCTTTCCTGAGTTGAACTAAACCTGATCAAACATGGCCATCAGGATTGGAGCTCCATCCTGTCAGCTGGTCTGAGCGGCTCTCACCTCTGAGGACGCCGGAGTAGGCAGCCAGGATGGTCTTCATGCTGGACGCCTGGAGCCGCATACAGCCTCAGACCAGAGCCTTTCTCTCCGGTACCGGACGGAGCTGGATGTTTGTCTGAGGAGAGGTGGACATTCGGTGCGGGTTGACCCGAGTATGCGCGCTCCGAGCTGCTCGCGCTGGATTTATAAGCGCGGTCACGTGGTTCAGCCCAGGTGGGCGAGAGAGAAACTCCCAGGATTCTTCTGGATGTCAGAGGCGTGTTACCGACGCCAGCCTGGTCTAAATACAACAAAATGGCATTAAAGGAAAACACGCTAGAGTTAAATTTAATGAACTCTTGAATAAACATCTAAACTCAAAGTGAAGAAGGAGTCACCCTAAACCGCAGCTCATCTTAACCACAGCTCAAACAAACAGTGGTGGCGCCAGGGGGCGCCAGGGGGGCGCTATAGGTACCCCTGGATTATTGCACCCCCATAGCACCCCCCAAGGAAATATTAGATTTTAGTTTTTTTTTACTATTTAATTTTAATTTAACATGTGGTTGTGATAATATTTAACATAAAAAACAGAAATAATCAGTAAATTATCATATAGATAATAAAAATTAAACCAAAACAGGAAATTGATGTTAACCTTTGACCTCATTTTCCACCTGCGAACGAGTGAAAGGTAGAGCTAGTGGTAAAATGGATAGGTTTTTGTTGCCCAAATTTCCACAGGTTCTGTCAGAAATGAATGAATCTTTGGAATGATCTCAGACCCACAAAAACCTACGGATGTGGATGAAGAGAGTCAACCCTCAACCGCCGCAGCAGTCCAGGGTTTTGTCGCTGGAAATGCTAACACTAATGTTAGCTAACCTTGCAACACTATGGATGGTTTTCTGTTGGGCTGTATGTGTTCATGATTTCATGGACAAGTCAGCGATTGTTCATATGTTTATGGTGTATATTAATGATTGTTTCAGGTGTTGTTGAGGTTGTGTGCACGCATGTGTATCTGCTAGTGTTGAAGGTGTTTTAGAGAACAATAGGTACGCATGACCACTTCCTTCATAGCACCCTCAATAAAAAGACTGGCTCCTTCATAGCACCTGCAGAAAAACATTTCTGGAGCCGCCACTGCAACCAAGCCACAGCTCAAACCTGGCAGCAGTAGCCAGGAGTCTAGAACTAAAATCTGGAGCAAAAGTCCATTAATGTCAGGAATCCAGCTCTGATGATGTTATTTTACACATTTGACCTAACAGCACCATGGGAACTGTAGCTTGCTGTCTGACAGAAACAACAGCCATGTGGTGCAGAGCTCCTGAATCCTTCAGGAGGCTCCAGACTACAGATCAGAGGGAATCATACAATGTTTCCTGTTCAGCACAAAATCTGGGCCCTGTAGCACCTTCCGTTGTGTATGTGTGTGTGTGTGCATGGACGTAATTTTAAGTTTAAAAGTGGGGGGGACACGGGGGGGGGGGGGGGGGGTATCTTTACAGTATGCTCTAATGAAAAACAGGCTTCAACACAAACGGTTGTTTGCCGCTTGGTCCCAGAGCTCAACCAGTGTCAATTTAATATAGCCTAATATTGATTTTGGATGGTAAAAAGTGCAGGGGTCAAAACTTGACTTTGGAAAAAGTGGGGGGGACATGTTCCCCCTGTCCCCCCCAAAATATTACGTCCGTGTGTGTGCGTGTGTGTGTGTGTGTGTGTGCATGTGTGTGTGTGTGCGTGCGTGCATGTGTGTGTGTGTGTGTGCGTGTGGAGTAAACTAATGATTTGCTGCAACTGTCTGATTCATACTGACCTTCCTTCATTTACATCAGATTCTGAGAATGAATGGTGTGTGAGTGTTTGGTGTGTCACGATGGAGTGTGTGGTGAACATGAAAGGTGTTGTGGGCTCCTGTTAACATGGAATAAATATGAACTACTGACTGAGATGAACGTTAAAGACACTCAGCTGTGTTTGTTTTGTGTAGCACTTCTATTAAAGACTGATTGTTTGCCTTGACTTTGCCCAGACAGTTTACTGAGTTTATTGAAATGAAATCTCATGTCCAGTCTGGGGAAAAGGTTTTTGCTCCTCATATCTGATGTAATTCTCCCTAAAACTAATGTCTGATGGGTCTGAGCCAAGATTCATGGTGGCTTTTGGATACAAATTGATGCCACAGTCCTTGACACGAAGCTACTGTTGAGAAATACGTCAGAAATACGGTCATGTGCTTTTACAGCACAGTTCGTGTTTCTGTAAGTGCAGCCTTGGCTGCTCTCACCTATTTTTATATAATTGTTCATTCCACCTGTGTTAACAGCTCAGGTTCATGACACCATCTTATAAAATGTCATGTAAAGCTTTGCGTTTATACTGAAGATCTAAGGTATCTGAATAATCCAACTCATACAGACGAGTCCACCAGGAGGATTGAGTCATTCCACTCAGAAACATCAGAGTCGTGACCAAAAATATGAAAGTCAAAGTTCAGACTGTCCCATCGTTCAGGTTTCTGATAAGAAACCTTTATTGTGTTGTTTGGATCTGATTAAGCAGCAGATTACATGCATTCCTGTTGCTGGACTGAAACCTCAGGACCGAATAGATCCCTTCTGCTTGTTTCCAATAACACCAGAGCCGGAACTCTACTTCTGTTGTCTTCGTTAGGAGAAAAACAAGATAAGATGTGTAGACGTGAACTCTGGGAGTCCTCCTGTACTTTGAACAGTGTCTTGAGACAAACATCAATGATGTTGGAATTCTAATCTATTTCAAACTTGAAAGACTCCCAGTCATCATCTGAAAGTCTTTTTATCACACTTTCATCTGTGAACTAATTATTAGTTCGCCCGTGTGAATGAATGAATCACCATAAAAAACAGAGAATGTGCTCCCCTGACAAATCTCCTCTTTTGCATCATTTTCCTGCTGTATTTTTCTCCCAGTCAGCATTTCTAAAGCCACACACACACACACACACACACACACACACACACACACACACACGTACACACACACACACACACACATACACACACACAGACACACACACACACACACACAGACACACACACACACACACGCACACAATTACACTCACACACGCATGCATTTACACACACACACACACACACACACACACGCGCACACACACACACACACACACACGCACACTCGCATGCACGCGCACACGTGCGCACAGACACATTTTTCCTAGACTGTGTTGTAAGGGGGGCATCGTCCAACCTCACAGACGTTTTATGTGGAAACATCAGAGCAATGTCATTTAAAGGTTTCCTGCCAAAGTTCATCATTTAGAAACCGGATCCCAAAATAAACTCTGAACATCTGAAAAAGCGAAATGGCACTATCTCTCTTACAGGTCAAAGAGTTTAAAAATCAAATGTTCTAATGTCCATGTTCAGAAGACTCAGCACCACTTGAGTGAAACAAACTAATCAGAGCACTGCTGAGAGCGGAGAACACATAATCTGTTTCTGATGTTTAACCCTCTCAGGCTGAAAAGAAGTTTTGATAAAAGGATGAACAACTAAGTCCTTCAGGGTACTTCTGAGTTAAAAAACGTCTGCATCCAGAGGGTTTAAAAGTCTAGTTATCATTACATGTTTACACATTTGCATGTGTAGAGGGTAAATTTAATGACCGCAGTTACGACCAGGTCGGTCCAGAGTCGTCTCCCGGATCACAACAGATAGATGAAATAAAAAATCAATGATGAACAAGAGTCTGCTTCTAGACCTGCAGAAAGAGAAAAACAACACACAACAATACAACAGGAGCAAGCTATCACTGCATCAACCTGAGGAGGAAACATAAAATCAACATTGTTTTAATGAACAACCACGTGATAATAAATCACAGTGCATTTAGTGCCAACCACAGCCTTAAGATATGTGTTGAAAATGCCCAAGTCCATACTTATGAGAGCACCATGTGAGCGCCTGTGTGTGTACACGCGCTTGTTTATGTAAGGCTTCTCTAAAGGAGCGTCCAATAGAGAGTATGAGGGGCCACAGATCTGCCCCCCAAAGATGTGTAGGAGATGGAGGGATCTCCAAGTCCAAGAGATCCAGGAGCTGCCCCAGAGTACAGGGACCCCAGGGAGACTGTAACCAGAAAAGCCCCAGCCCCCTCTCGGGAGGCGCAGAGGATTACCCTGGGGGGCCACAACTAGCAGCCGGCAGAGTCCCGGGAGATATCAGCGGCAAATCAAATCAAATCAAAGATACTTTATTAATCCCAGAGGGAAATAAGAGTTTCAGTACACACAATTCAGAGACCAGACATACATGGGCAAAGACACATGACAAGAATTTGTCACTGTGGTCATTCGCAACCCTGAGTCGCGCTACCTTAATAGAGATAAGAGGGGTTACATGAGGATTGGTTCAAGTGGAGGGAAAAAAAGGCACTTCAGAGTTACCCTCCCACCAGGAGGGCAGCTTTGCTCTGCAAAAAAACTCCTCAAACATATATGCAACAGACTTCAGACAACACAAGTGTCCACTAGGGGTTGTACAAACTAGTCGACTAGTCGATTTCACGGCTCTGTAGTGACTTTTTATGCCTGTCATCAACTAGTCGCTGTCACGTGATAATGACTGACAAGATGCAGTCCTCGGAAAAGACAGCAGGTGATGAGCCCCTGCGCGTCTGGATCGAGGCGGAGGCGACGCGCTGTGCGGTACTGACACCGGCGGTAAAACGGACATTTAACCAAACTGTGACCTTTTCCCTCTTGCAATTTAACCTTCCCCTCACCCCCATCCTAATCTTAACCAGTTTGCGCATGCAAAGCTCTGATCGTTGACGTGCGCTCCAGACATTGCGTCCTGAGCACCGCCAAATCAGGTGTCACCACCTCAAAAACAAATTAAACACGCGATCGTTCATGTCGGCTCATTTCCTTTCATGTTTTCTGTCTGTTATTTGTGTCTGATGCGCTTTGCTGCTGCGGAGCGAGGCGCATCAGCTGTTGTCCTCTGGTGACGCACCCCAAAGATCCCACTATCTCCGCCCCGCTCCAGCACGAACTCCGCAGTAAAAACTGTCCCGTTGTAGTCGGCCGGCGAGCAGCGGCACTCCACTGTTTTTGCGGTCGGTAGATCTTTTAGAACTGCAGTTCAAAGGTAACTCATGAGGTGAATATATATGAACCCAGGTAGCAGTTTTTCTTTA